GAGAAACTTATAAATCGTTTATTGCTCATCGTTGTTGGTCAAAACATCACATATTTCTTCTCTCTGCTAGCAAAACTATTCTAAAAGCATCTTCCGTTCATAAATTAAATTTCATGAAGGCGTTCACTTTCATCTGCTGGTTCTGCTCAACGATCCCATTTCTAATATTTGTTTACCCTTAGCTTTTAAAGAAATTATTTTGTAATTACCTTTCTTTCACCTTTTGTCAACAGATAGCACCAGTGGCTTTGTTTCTGCTATTCTTTAGCTGAAGCCTCCTCAATTTTGCTTTCGTTGTTATCGCACAAGCACGTTTCTGTGGCTTCATATTCACTCCTACAGCTGATGAAGGAGGTTTTATTTGACCTTAACTACAGTCTTCTAAATTTAACCAATATCGATTCTTGTTGCTTAACATTTCCTAGAAATGCTCTGCTTTATAAAACAATAAAACTGCAACAAACACTAATTATTTCAATAATCTCTAATAAAGACCTTTAATTGATTGACTTTCTTGATGTGTTCTAAAATTATGAGTTTTTAGTATTTCAATGAAAATTATTCCTGCAGTTAACCATGCTAATTCTAATAATTTCTTTTAAAGGATTTTTCCACATTTGTTGTAAAAGTCGATACAACCGGTGCAATTGCACAGGGCAACAGAATTTAGGAACTGCGATTTTTTTTTAAATTTAAGAAGAAATCAGGTGCCAGAATTTAGAACTTTCAGAGTGTCCACTGTCTGCGAAAACCCTAGCTTCGGCCCTTGCGTTGTCCATTATGTATTTAAAATTGATTATTATTTGATGAATTAAATTATTATTTGATAAAAATTTCTTCTCCAATTTGTAGATATTTCCTTTTGCTTTGGTTATATGCAGTATTAATGAGAATGTAACTTTTAAACTTTTATAAAGACAGGAACGACATAAAAATAAAGGAAGTTTCTAATTCATCAAATCAAATTTTAAATAAATTATTTAAACTTTAAAAACAAGTCCCAATTCAGCCTCACCCTGTTGTAGATTGTAAACAGGCTGTCAGGGTTGTAACTAGAGATTTAAGGGCTTTGGAGAAGTAGATGATAATGGGATCCCTTCTTTATTGCATCTCCTAAATCTTAACCACTTTTTTCACTAGTTATGTTTAATCCTTTTCTTAATAATTAAAGAAGCTTTACACGCTTTAATCGAATCAAACATTTATCGATAAATGTCTCGTTGATGTATGTCATAATATATTATTTTTGATTCCTGTTTAATTCTGTTAAGTCAGAAAGAATATGGTATCCGAAGTCATTTTACGTCATACAAAGCATAATATGAAATATATTTAATATAATTAAGGTAATATATTTAACAGGAAATGGTACTTTGGTATACTATTATTGCAGCCACCTTGGCTCAATTCTGCGAATTTTTGAAGAACAAAAAGAATAGTAATTTTAAATTGGAAAGAGTTATTTATTTAATATCACCTATATTATTAGGTAATTTTAATTTTAGTTCGATATTTAGACCGGAAAATAATTTATAAAACTCCTTACAAATGGTATGTCCAGCATGTAATTATTCCAGTCTACCACCCATTTCTAAGGCTTCGAAGCAGAATTTAACACTCGTTAATTTTTTACACCAGCAGCATATAAACCTGGCTGCTGTAGTAAATGGCAGATGACTATTTTAGAACTAATTACCTCTAAAAAATGCCGATGTGTTCTTTACACTTTTTCAGGTTACATTTCCATAAAGGTTATTTTCCAAATTACAACATTATCAAATGCAAATCTGAACATATCCGCCTTTGAGGCAAAGTATTATATTCCTGCGTCAATTTCACGGAACTTTCCTCGTTTGCAGGCAGATCCCACGAGCGTATATTTCAAAATTCAGCTGAAGACTTAAAAATATCGCAAATTGCCTTAGTGCTTCTAATACAACCAAAACAGCATGTACGAAAATGGCGTCTTTGCTTTTTCAAACTTTCAGTTACCGATATGGTTACCTGAAGAACTGTTTTGCGCATGGTTGCCACAGTTTGGCGAATTCTACCAAGGTGGTTGCGATAATACCAAAGTACCCAGCATATTTTACTTTTAAACTTGATTTGCAAAAATCTCTGTTTGCTAACTGTTAATGAAGTAAACTCTTCCGTTATTTTATCAAGGTTAATTTTTGGATTCGATTATTCTCAACTGAGAGGAAAAGTAAACTGACACGCTTTTCTTATCCCGTACTGCTTCGCAAAGACACGGGCAGGTGGATCGTTATCTATAAATCGTTGGACACTAATCACTAATCTGGTCTCTTGATAAGAAAACGCACTGCCCTTCGCGATCTTTTAATCGCCATTTTATACCTAATATTTTTCTATAATATCTGATGGCAACATTCTAATCCAGCACTCTCGTGAGTACCGACATTTTTATCGTACTTCTAAATTACTAGGTAAGCCCTAGTTTCGCCCACAAACATTTCATCTTAAGCCACTCATTAATTAGCAATAAACTATATTTCTAATTAGATAAATAATTTCTCAGTCTGGAAATTATTGAAAATATAAATGTGTTTGAGAAGTTTAATTTTTAAATTTTAAAAATAAAATCTCGAATATAAAAATTCGACATATTTTTTTTCCTCACTCGTGGGCCAAGCTCGAGGCACTGTCTCGGTTGCCTCAGTGGTAATCAAAGCCCTGCAGGCCGTATACATTTTTTAAAGAGCTAATTTTTAGTAGGTTTCCCTCAACTACATCACCTCAAGACAAACTTGCACGTGGCGGCATCTATTGAGCAATATTGAAAACAAAGGAAAAAGAGTGGAAAGATTATGAGTAAAGTCTATTAAACATTTTTTGTTAATTTAGAATTAAAATCATTATCTAAAGTTGAGAGATTTAGTGGAATAAGGGAGCTTTCTTTTACATCAACTTCTGAGAAAATTGTGCCAGGCACTGATTGTTACAGAAAGATTAGGTGAAAGGTATGCAGCTTTTCATTTAAAAAAAAAAAAAAACGCTTTGCTGTTTACGTTGAACCTTTTCACATTTTAGAATTTTAAGTCTCTTGCATTTGCTATTTTGAGTTGTTTAGAATGCAAATAAGAGTATGATTCAGGAAAATTTAAAAGAAATTTATCGGTTTCGATAGCTCAATAAACAAAGCATTCTTCTCTAGTTCAAAAAGACGGAATTCTTCACTAATACAGATGACATCTCTACGTTCTTTCTAAGGCGAAGTGGTAACACGAAAACGCCCATTCAACCAGCTCGTTTGCATGGATTCGAACTGCTTCAGCTGGGAAATCAACTGTTTCAGCTTTACAACAGTTTCGTACACACAAGCAGTCTCTAACTGCATGTTAATTTCCATTCTCTTGGCAAAGTGAGCCATGCAGTTAACCTTTTTGAATTCTTTTGTGGATGAGTTCTGTATATAGCTCCACATGGAATTTTGAGTTTACTGGAGATTATTTCTTTTATTATTTGCTGCTCTGCTACTAAAATGTAGCTCTAAGAGTTCTACAATTTTTGGCTTCCAAATGTACAATAATTTCTCTTACTATATATTCAAAAATTCATCTTTTACTGGATAAAAGTTTATTTTAGAAGATAATAGTTTGTCGGGTTTGTTACTCACCAGTTACTCATTTACAGCTTACAGTTAACTACTATTTAATTTATAACCTTTCACTGCATTTTTCTTGAACTTTTGCTTATCTTATTTCACTTATTCATAACACCAGCAATTTAATTTCAATTTCAGTCTACGAATATGTAATACTATATATATAAAGAGAAGGAGACAGAGAGTTATGTAGAGATGTTTAAATAGTTTTTGCTTTTTAAGATAAAATAAAACGTAATTTATAAAGCAATTTTGCATTATTAAAGAAACACTGCTTTCAAATTAAATAAAAGTAGCTTCGAATTTAGAGAATATTTTTGCTAGCTCTAACTGTAATTAAAAGTGAAAAATTAAAGTTTCTTTTATTAAAGACTTCACCGTTGGCTCTGAGACAGACTCGTCGAATTGAAAAGCGTTGTCGGTAGCTTTGAATAAATTTAATAATTCAGATGATATCGAAAAACTAATGGCCATCTTTCAAGTACACAGATAATTGTGTAAAATATATGTATATACATCTATCTATCTCTATATATATTTAGTCGTCAGGATTCGAAATCCATTGGGGCTTTCCCGCACACGTTCGAATCCTGTGGACTAAAATGTAAGATAAAATGTAAATCAAAATTATAATTTAAGCTAACGGTAACCCATTAATTCTCTCTCTCTCTCTCTCTCTATTCTAAAACTCGTAATAACTTCTCTGGATTGCATTATTTCTAGATCAATCCATCTTGCACGGCCTGCACAACGCTGATGACGTGGATAATTTGAGCGCTAAACTCAAAATTTTGAGAACTAAAACCTTTCTGACCTAAGCCAAAACCTTCCTCTTGCTAAGCTTCTATATTGGATAAATGCACTTTTAGCTTGTACCTCTGTGCTGCTTGGACGCTATCTCACGATTAAAATGCCAAGTGAATTGTGGCTACAAATGTCAGTTTAAATAAAAATGGAATTTAAACCGCCTCGATTGCCAAGTTCTTATTCAGTATGGGTTAGCATTCTACGCAATCAAAATTCTTCCTCTACAGTATGCATATGCGTATGTGTACGTTATCTTAGTGTTCAAAGCTAGTTCAAAGCTGCTGATGACACTTTTCAAATCGGCAAGCCTCTCTCGGGGCAAACATTGAAGTGCTTGAACGATTTCTTAGTTTTCTTTTACAATGTCATCAGTTTGTATCAATGAAATCACCTGCCTAGAAAATATAACCACTTCGCCAATATTTTTATTAACCACTTCACCACTTCAATATTTTATTAAGCACTTCACCGTTTGCCCTAAGAGAGACTCGTCGATTTGAAAAGGAATATACTATTTAGAACAAAAAAGTGTTTATTTATATAAAATGTACGCATGACTAAACACAGTTTTAAAAAATTAACATTTATTTTCATTTACAATGTTGAATCAAAACAAAATGCTGTATAAGGCACAGTTCGAAAAAATGACAAACAATGGACAAACAAGAAACAAAATTTTATCGAAATAAACAACAAATTAACGCAAAAGTGTACAAATTCGTAAAGGCTTGTGAATAAATAATAACTGCGTTAAAAGAAACTTTTCTTGGATTTTGTCAGTATCACTTACATCGTACGTAACAAAAAATAATCAAGCAAACTTAAGTGCTTGCTGAATTTTCAAGTCTAATAATTTAAATAAAATATTTCTTGCTCCAGTTTAAGCTTGTAAGGCCCAAAGTGATGCATAGTAGCGGCCATTGTTTTAATTTAGAAAGCAGTTATAAAGTAAGTTTCAGAGCATATGCGTGCATATGCATATATGTATATATATGCATATGCATATATATATATATATATATATATGTAGGTAGTTCAACAAAACTTAATATTTTGTTTTAAAAGAGGATTATGAAATTGAATATTGTGCTATTGTTAAGAAAACTGTAAAACTAAATAGTATATTATTCTACAGTAAATTTTAAAAGCTTTGAAACATATATCGCTGAAATATTTTATTTCAAAGTAGATAGATTCATAAATATTTAATAATTTTTTCTATAAAATCATGCTTATTGATCTACTGAAAAGCTCAAACAACATTATTACATTTTCTTGCTATATAAATTTTGAAATGTGCAGTAGTTACTGGCACTATGTGAAACCCTGTTATTTTATATAATACAGGATTTTCAATGAGGGTACTATAGATAATGATTTTTTTTCTTTTGCCATTCAATTATCGTATACCATTTGAATCCAAAGTAATAAATAGGTGTTGCCAAATACATGAATAAATAACTTTGCTTGGAGGGCATCTTTAAAATCTTATCTCCAAATATGTGTTACATATTATATTTTAATAGAATACTTTTACAGTCATTATATGTATATTTTAGAAGACTTTAGTATATAAATGTTGTTTAAACATAGTTAATGATATTGTTATATTCCATTTTACTTTTGTTGATATTCGCACTAGAGTAACAACACAGGAATTCTAACCGTTAATAATAAATAAAATTCAGACTTACGAAAAATAGAACCTGATATGAATAGAATTAGATAGAATTAAATTTTAAAAAGTTAGATTTTTGTTTAAAAAAAAGCATTTTGAAGCTAGGCAATATTAACTCGGGAAAAATAAATAATAAAATTTCCTCATACTTTATCGAAAATAATAATATAATAACGAATTTAATTAACCTGCGAGAAAGGTAATTATTGAAGTTGTAGAACTTAACAAATAAATATATTATAATTGCAGACCCTTAAGCCTCTCAAAATGTAAAATCTAAAGCAGACAGATAGGAATTCTAAAAAGCGTGAAATAGTAAAGCTAGTAGTGAAGTAGTTAGTATAAGTATATAACGGCTTATTATTGTGTCTTAATTATTATCGTTTCTTTACAAATATTCATAATTTGGCAGAATTTCCTCAACTCATATCGCAAAAGTAAGTATGAAAATTTTAAGTGATAGTCAGCTGTTTCAAGATATACATCTTCTTCTTATGGCGTAGATTTCCAGGATCTGCTTAACGTTCCCTTAAAAGTATGTTAAGAAAATGAGCGTTTCAAAATAGATTCTGAAAATAAATTTTAAAATGTTTTTTAAATATATTTATTTAAAATTTAAATTATTTTTTGATAATCTAAAATTTATACCTAAATTATTACACTATTTAAACTTTAGATTAAGATAATCAATTGCTTTATGTACCTCAGTATAAAATTGTGTTTTATAAATTACTTCTTTTCTCACACCAATTTATAGGCAAAATTTCCGTTTAAATGAATATGAAAAAGAAATTCAGGGATGAAATGGCGACACGATCAAATTTATAAAATTCGGTTGATTCTTCACTTTTCTATTTACAAAATTCCTTTTCTAGCTGAAACAAAGGATTTCGATTGTTAAGTTAACATTTCATTATATTCACACTTGAAGTTTTACAGCTTTTAAAAGATTTCCATGAAATAATGAATTCAGAAATCAATGAATACATGCATATCACAATACACCAACCAATCTAATTAGCAATGAACCGGTCTTTTCGCTGTCCTTGTTGAAACCTAAGCGCAGGAAGTAACACCTTTCATAAACAGTTCTTTGCATAGTCTGTTTTTCTTTACAGCCAATCCACGAAAACGCACTGATAAAAAATCCATAATTTTTTTATGTGCTAAAGCCTAGTATACTACCTCCATTATGTAGGAGCCTACCATTCCTTGCGATGTCTACTTGGGGAAATGCTCGAAATGCATAAGCACATTGCACTTTACACACGTGATCAGCTAATACTGATTCTTTGGAATATGAACTCGCCAAGTGAAAACAGTTATTGATTCTCAAAGACTGACATATGGGCTGTGAAAGAAAAGAAATAAAAATGAATTTTTATTATTTTCCTTAAGGCAAAATAAGAACAGTAAAACATTTGATATTAAAATCAGTATAATTGGCTTTTAACTAGCCTATAACTAATACCTACTATTCACAAAAGCAACTTCATTGGTATAGAGCAGTACAAAAATAATATCTAACCTTTTACGTAATGAAGATTCAATTGATACAGAAATCTAGTTTGATAAATAAATAACTTCAATAACGCATTTAACTATTCAGAAAACAAAATAATTATATTTTCCTCTTTCAGAAAACTAAAATTTTCAATATTTTCATAACTTAAAAATTTAAATTCACGGTCTAATATATATATATATATATATTAGACCGTGAATTTAAATTTTTAATAAAATATAAAAAGAAAATTAAGAAGCGACTTATTAATTAATGCTGCCATTTATTAATAAGAAATCTACTTGCGAAACAGAGAAATAAGAAATACAATAATTCAACTGCTTATTTAAACCAAGATAGAAAAGCATAAGAAGGGTATTGCTATTTAAATTATTAGCACAAGAGGTAACTGCTATTTAAATATATCTTCTCTTTCTATATATATGCATTGTTTTATATTTATATACACCATGCTCACAGAAGTCCATACTGGCTTTCATTTTCGCAAGTGTCTGTTGAAAACATTTATTTCCAGGTGCAGAAGTGTTTTAAATGACACAAACGTTAATATTTTGGTATTTTTAAATTTTAAAAATGTCAGTTTTACAAGAATTACGAAGTCTAACTTTTTATACCCTATGCTTATAATAAAAACTTATTATAAAACATAAAACACAAAAAGTCGGGCTCTCGTACGACAAAAATTGACTGAGATATTTCATTTCAATTCAAAAACATGCATCGTTGCTCCATTTAAAATATTTTTGTAAGTGGGAAGTATATGTCTACGATCAACGGTTGCGAAACTACAGTATATAAATGTATATAATTCAATCGAAGGACACTTAAGTTGAAAACCAAAAACCAAATCATGCGCAAATTTCAGAGGTAATATTTATTAAATTCAAAACATAAACTAATATAATTCAAATATCATATTCAATTCTATAATAATGAAACTGGCGCATACAAATTGTTTGCTGAAAAAAAAAAAAAAAAAAAATAGAAAAAGTAAACTAGAAAATGAGAACTGTCTTGAAATCTACAGACAAATCAACTTAGTGCAAAACTAAAATTCGTACAAAAGTTAAGACATATACAAGATAAAAGCAGAAAGAATCACCATTTTATTATTGGTTTTATTTAAATACTTTAGGATTTGATTTCTTTTTAGAACATATATATATATATATACTAAATTTATTCATTTTAATATTCAAAAGATTTCATTAAAATAAAAAAATTGGAACAAAATTATGCTCAATATCATTTAGCTTGAACGTGATCTTAAAAGTTATTACTGAAATTTCCTGTGAATAGAACATACTCAATTTTTGTGGACATTTAAAGTAATTGTTATCCGTAGAAGTACGCCTTTTCGCGAATTTGTTGATGGTTTTGGTTTATTTGCCTGTGACAAAGCATGTTTATGATAGCTGCTAAAGGGAAGGGATGCATTCGTGGAGGACGTTTTAAGGGAAATTGGCTCATATCTCGTATGTTGCACATCAGGATAACCACAACGAAAGCGTCCATAAAGCCAGCACCGTTTGTGTGCAATCGAACCCAGGTTGAACTACCACTGTTTAGCGAAATACCATTCAGCCACTGGTGGGCCGAATTTGTTGGAAAAAATTCTAATAACGACAATCACAATTATTAGAACCTGAAGCGAATATAAGCAAGATACTTACCCCTTCTTTGGTGCATGTACACATAACGCAAGGCGATATTCTATCTGCTGATCCTACATCTATAGTAACTTTTCCAACTGTGCATGAGACGCGCTCCTTCCATTGTTCCAGGTCAACTGATGGAAGGCTTTTACATGAAACTCGAGGATTCCTGAAATTGGCAAGTATAGGATAAATATGATTTATTCTATAAAGAGTTGGATATGAATATTCCTACATATGTAAAAATTGTTTATAACACATGATGAAAACGTTTACATTACATGTCTGTGCTTTTTAAAAAAACGTCTTTGCACTTACAAATGAAGAAAATCATTGTACTATCTGACATGCAGGGTGGGCATAATAAAACTTCCCATCATATGAGTTCCTAGTAGCCTATCCGTTCAACTAATCGAAATGAAATTTCAGATATTTTAGTTAAACGTATACACTCAAATCAAGACTAATTATTTAAAACAATACAGCTCTTACGGTTATGGTTACAGTGAAAAGTTTCAAATTTTCGAATGCCAACGCCCACGTTTTTCCTGCTCAAATTGATCAGCGCACTGAAAAACCATAGATGGCGTTGGGACGGCACATTTGCCGAAGACTGCCGTAGAAAAAACATTTGCAAAGAAGAGCATTGTAAAGGACCAGTGAGAAGGGAGAAAAAGAAATATTGGAATTACAAGTCCTTAATGTGGCCACCTTTCAAAACAGTAATAACGCATTGCATGCAGGAGATTATTGTCAACAATGACGAGTGTAACATCGCAGGAGAAATATGTATATCTTCACGTTTTGCGGCATCTTTTAGTTTTGACAAAGCACGTGGATTCGACGATGTGTACAGCTTAGACTTTAAATAATCCCAGAACCAGAAATCCATAGGGGTGAGAATGGGGAATGGTGGTGACTGCACTATAAAGTTACGAGAGATGACTCTAACTTGAAACGTTGTACACATTGAAAACTTGTAATTCCAATAACTTCCCCCCTGTCCTCTCTTGTTTTCTCATTGGTTTTTTACAAGGTACTTTACTTTGCAAATACTTTACACCTTTTACATGGTCCTTTACTTTTCAAATATTTCACGCCGTATATCGTTCCAACGCCATTTATGGTTTTTCAGTGCTCTGATCAATTTGAGAAAGAAAAACGCTGGTGTTGTCATTGAAAATTTTGGAATTTTTTTCACGGTAACCGTGAGAGTTCTATTGTTTTTAACCATCACAATCTCCAGCTCTTACTTCACATAACAGTATCTGAAATTTCATTTCAAATGGTTGAGCGGATAGGCCGCTAGTGATTCATATAGGAAGTTTTTTTTTTCTTTTGCCCGCCCTGTATTTTTATTAAAGTATGATCTGCTGTTTACCTATAGAATTATTCCAAACGTTTTATTCAATGTAAATCTCTCCAGAGCTGATTATTAGAGAATACACAAATCGACAACTTACGCTTAGTGGAAAACCTACATTGTTTTAACACATTATAAATCAACATAAGTTCATGCATTTTTACCAGCCAATTGTTATTTTGGGACATTGCAGTTACGTCTCGTTAGAAGTATTTGTGTGAAGTAAATTTACTTCCTATATGATTGCCTTTAGGAATGAGAAGAAATCTTGTTTCCGAGCATTGATCGAATTTATATCATAAATAACTTTACATTAAGACATGTAGATATAATCTCAGCTAAGTAAATTAGTGTATTTTATGTTGCCTTATTGAACGCTATTAAATAATTTATGTAGAATGTTTACTTGGAATTTCTGTCAAAGAATTAGTATTTCTTGGTTTGTAAGCCAATGGATTGAAATACAAAGACATTTTATATAGTACTTGATTATTTGGAACTAAATTCTTATTTGGTCTTATAAACGGTTGTTCTCTTTATTTTTCTGCGTGGGAAACGTTTACAGATTGAGACAGGTAGATGAAGTACATCATCTTGACTGCCTACGATGCTTATAAGCATTAAACTTTAAGGCTGCCAAACCTGACAACATTGAGGCAGCACCAAAGAGCATTTAATCTGTTCTGCTAAGCTTCTTTATCACTTTCAGAATAGGAACAGTCCTTACAAGATGTTTGTGTTTTTGGTTTTACGAGATTAAGGTTAAGCCTCGAGGGCTATTTGTCTAGAAGCCTATTTACGCTAGCGGAGCTTTGAGCCTAAGAAACGTAGACGAACTCGAAAAACCACGGAAACACCCATGCAGCCAGCCCGTTCGCGGGATTCGAACCTCAGACCGAACTACCAGTGTTCAGCGACTTTACCGCTCGGCCGCTGGTGGGCCCTATACAAGATGTGTAGCACAGGATAAATTTACCTTAGTTGTAAACCTCATATATCTCTTTCCACCCTAAAAGATAGAATATTTACTGTTTAGAATGCCTATGCTCGATCCCTACTATGTAATCGACCATAAGCTTTATTAACAATAAATATTCAACACCAAGTATCAGACAGAATAATAATCACAGCAGAAAACAGTAGTTATACTTTAGTGCTGACAAAAAGGAAAAAAAATTCCAGAAACGATTAGCAGATACATTTAAATATTTTGTACTAGCAACAGTACATTTTATTAATGCATTTTTAGAGAGTTTTTGTCTTTTCTAATATTTAATCAAGTATCTTAATGCGATCTTTTAAAAAATATCCTACTTAGAATACGTTACATGCTACAGTATGGGCAAGTTGCACAGTAATATTTAAAAAAAAATACTTTATGTATTTTATAAGAATACATACATGAATGCATCGGGAAGATCAAACACCATTCTTTGGATAGTGTCAATTGAATCAGAGTTGTCGCAAATAATTTTGGCTAAAGACGATTTTCTGATTTCTGTTAATTGAGCTGAAATAAAAAAAGAAGAAATTAAGGAACAAGCGAGCATTCACAAGATTTCACATTCGCAAATGTTTATTTTTGTTTAAACGTTTTTAAAATTCTACTAACTTTATTTTTCAATTTTCGTTGCTATTTTTACCGACAGATGGCAATACCGTCTCTTTCTTTTTATTGCTGTAGGTTATAGATTCGTTTTATTGCTATAGAATTGTGCCCGCTGCTTTCCTCGCCTTTTGCATACTCTCCATAGCTTCAACTTTCAAGCGTAAGGCCCTTTACGGAATACAGTGAAGCTCTGGTAATAGCGGGATAAAATTCCTGCTGCACATGAGAATGAACAGCGAAAGCATCAACGCTGCTTTCCAGGTTTGCCCAGATTTCTTTGCTTCTGATGAAGAGGCCCTGTACCTGTTTGCCTCGAAACGGATTGAGTTCTTGACTAAATCAACGCCAAACACAAAGTTGTTGGTTTGCTAATTTTATGCTAAACGAATAAACTGTTACGAAGAAATATAATATTTATACAAAGTACTAAAGTGTTTTATACATTGTAAATATTTTGTGTTTTATTTAGTGTTTACTTTCAATATTTACAACGTAATATTCAATATTTCAATATTACTTTTTTATTTATTCAATAAATATGAAAATTTCAGATAAGAACCTTACGCTGCAATGATTATGTAATTATTGGTACTGTCAGATACCACACATTTTTTAAGGTTCAATCCTGCTGTGACAATATGAATTAGTTTGTGCACGTATTTCCTACAGAAATTTCAGAGCGAATTAAATGCGTGAAGAAACTATGATAACAGAAATATATTGAATGTAAAACAGTAAATGTAAATATACAAAAACATTTACTCTGTTAATTAATATTGAATGTAATTCTAATTTTTATCTTAGGTCTCAATTAATTGATCTGATACTTCTGCGATATAATCAGTATTAAATTAGTTATTTTTCTAAAACTAAAAGTGCTTGATACAACTCTGTTTTAACGGTTTCATTTAAAAATACTATCCAAATCACTTTCACGAAACGCAGCTCTTTTCTCTTAAAGCAACGAAATTTTTCCTGTCACCTATAATAATCATCTTTATTTTGCACTGTAAGCAGTATCTTTAGATTTCACAACTGAATACCATAAATGGCTTTAATTGCTAATGCAATGTACTTTAATGAAGATTACGATGTACATAAGTTAGATGATATCAATGGAGTATTTATTAAAATGCTGCATATATTATAAAAATACGTTTTCGGGCTACTACATAAACTAATATGCACAGGATAAAACTAGGAGTAAATTTCCTGTTTTCAGGCTGATAATAGACAAGTAAAATGTAGATGTACACTAAATTTCCGATTATTTTTTACCGATTATCCATATATCTTCTTCCAAAGTTTTTCGCAAATCGGGACTTGAGGAAAACGAAACATTTCTTACGTTTTGGCAAAACCTTTTGATTTTTGAGACAGTGAATCTCATTGCTAAGTCTTGGAATGATATTAGAGTTTGATGCTAATTCACAGACAAGGAAAAAATAATCTTTGATATTATAAAGTAGGAAAGCACTCCTACTCTAATAGTAGAAAAGTTCTCCTACTTTGTTGTACTCTCAAGGAAAAGGTAACATCACTGAGCCTATTAAAGGATTTGAAAATGCAGATGAAGATAACACAAAGTGTGAATGGGGGGGAGAATGATGAAGGCCACAGGATTTATCAGCCCATGACATTCCTGATGCAGTAACACAAAAGTAATCAATAGATGTGCTAGAAAGGGAAATCACGGGTAAAGGTGAAATAGCAAGTGTGTTCCTAATATAGTTCTGGAATGTGCAACACAGACTGTACGGGTGAATAAAGTGAATTCGGAATTATAAGATGTCCAAATGTCAATTTATAAAAAAAAATTGGAAAAATTTATACAACGTTTATTTATTTACAATTAAACTACTAAATATTATAATACTATTAAACCTTCGTTTTAACAGCACATTATAAATCATTTATGTTAAACCTAAGCATTTATTTTCTACTGAACCGGTGCATTAATCATAACTTTGTAAGATCATTTATGGATCATCCATGCAATAAGCATGCATAATCGACAGTTTAATGTACCGAATTTATGTACCAAGAATGGAAGCTGAATAAGGAAAAACATGCTTCTGTGATAAAAATGTATCTTAAAAACTATTTAATTTACATTAAACACGAGTTTCTTCAACTTCTACTGTTTCTCTTCAGTTCTACCTCCACAATTTAGTTTTTACTAGGGAATACAGGCGTTTTATATTATTAATTACTCGAAAATTTAATTTATTCATTAATTTTGCAAATTGCTTACAGAATACTTTTGATTTAGCAAATGGGTTGTTTTTCTAGTTTTCTACTCAGAAATTTTCTTTTTAAATTTTTGGGGTCACCTCAGAGCAGATTATACTTTTTTGATTATTAAACAAAAAAAAACAAAAAACAATTAACTTATTTTGTTGCACTTTTGGAGCAATTATTTTATTGACAAGTTCTATAAATTTTGAAATATCTTCAGCATTCACGATCATCTAGATATAATTCAGAAACGTGACTCTGTTGAAAATTCTTTAAACGCCTGCTCTTGAAAAAGACCAAAGAATTTTCAACATTTTTTTATTCTTTATAATTTAATTTTTTTAAATCTTTACTTTTTTATGTATTTTGAAATATTTTTATTTTGATTTTGGTCTTAATTTGTATATTTCCTTTTAGGGAGTAGCCAATCTTTCATAATTTAGTTTTTATCTCTTGATATATATAGATGCAAAAATAGATATCTTCCTAAAATATACAGAAATCTTCCTGAGTCTACACAGATCCTTTCGTTATTGCTTTCGATATTCAAAAACTAATCCATAGTTATAAATCATGTTTACACTAGGTAACGTAAGGCAAGACGTGATACAAGAAATGGATCAAAAATCAAATATGCTAATCCAAATGCTTAGCATGCTGGTTATGAAGGAACATAAAAGAAATGATGGAGCTGTCACTGAGAAATAATTACCCACAGAACTAAAAAAACATAGAGACAGGACTGACATCTCGCTACAGAGACAAATAGACATCTCGGTACGTTCTCTGCCCTTAATTTGTTGATTGGCAATCCATCATTACGTACAAAAAACGTTTCTGTGTAACAAATGCGACGTTTCACTCTTAAGTCTCCCTCACAATGAATCTCATCAGCATTTTTCTTTTTTTTTTTATTCCGAGAGTTTCATCTTTTATAATTACCGTTACTGATAATTAATATTGCAAAAATATTTAGTGACAAATTAATTGCTGAAGTACAATTTCAACAATAAATCTAACATATATTCTGAATTAAATAATGAGTTAATTTTCGTTTAATAACATAAAATCTAAAAACAATATATTAATTATATGAGTCTACATTCTAGAAACCTTTAAATCTCATTTACCTTCCGTAAATCGAAGTAAAGGATTTGCAGTTTCAAACCAGAATCGATCACATTTCTTTAGCAAGGAGAATTGTTTGGCAATAATGCATCCAAATGTAGGCCCCACTAAACCTCCGTGCAAAGCTCTCTCCGCCAAACCACCCGAAAACAAATCGATATCATCAACATGGCTGTAAAAAAGTAAAAATGTAAAACGAGGTATCTTTAAATTTAAATAAGCACCTGAATTCTAACTATGCATTAAACTATTTAGTTACGATGCTTAAGTGCTATTAATAGTATCAGTTTATTTACAATGGAAATTCATCTAAAATCACAATACAGCTGAAGCTACTGTTACTACTTAGATTTTAATATCACATCTTTTGAATAACTACTTTTTCGCAATAATTTCTCTCTTTTATTAAATAATTTAGTATCTAAGGATAATAGCCAGTTTTTTAAATACTGCTTCACATGTGTTATAATCAAACTGCTAATATCGTTTTTTGGAGATTAATCCAAAATTCACTTTAGACAGCATACACTGGTGTGCAAAAATTAAGGACGAAGTCGAAAAATTAGCATATCAGCTGAACGAAAAGGCAGAGCGGACAGAAAGACCAATCAGGAGATTAAGTAAGGTGATATACGGTAGCACATGCGCAGATATGCAGGTAGACGTAATGCGGGAGTGTCTGAGTAGTATAAAGCATGTTGTCGGTGTAAGATCAGTATTTCTGGCAAAGAGATTGCACGCCGTATAGCAGTTAAAATCACACAGAGTTGCTGCCTTAGCGAGAAATAGTGAATAATCAATCTGTTAGACGACATCTGGATGCTTTTACCCGAGGTCGAATCATTGGGAAGTTGGAGGAAGTCCGCAGTGTGACAAGCGTGGCTGCAGAGTTCGGAATTACTCACAGCATCGTTTCACGACTTTGGAGACAATTTCAAACTACAGGAACAGCTATCCGGGGGTTTAGTAGCGGTCGTCTACGAGGAACCACACCCGCAGATGACCGGTATATTGCCTTACAGGCCAGAAAAAAACAGGCGGCAGACAGCGGGAGAAATCGCTAGACACACGACACAGGTGACTGGACGACCGATATCGCGTTTTACCGTGGCCAGAAGACTGCACGGTGGTGGTCTGTTTGCACGACGCCCTGTACGGTGTGTACCTCTAACGCCTGCCCATCGGAGAAGGCGTTCTCTGTGGTGCCGGGAACACCGGAATTGGAGAGACAATGAATGGGGACGAATACTCTTTACGGATGAGAGCAGATTCAGTCTGAGTAGCGATTCTCATCGCATACTCATCTGGAGAGAGCGGGGAAGCCGCAATCATCCCTCGAACATCATTGAAAGGGACAGGTATGGAGGTGGCGGTGTTCTCGTTTGGGGAGGCATCACGCTTGGTAGTCGTACAGACCTTCACATCTTCGACGCAGGTTCAGTCAACGGAACCCGTTATTGTAATAACATTCTTCTTCCATATGTGCGTCTTTTTAGAGGCGCTATGGGTCCGCAGTTCCTTTTCATGGACGACAATGCACCATGTCATCGCACAGTAGCTGCCGAACAGCTCTTAGAGAGTGAGGATATTGAACGTATGGATTGGCCGGCACGATCTCCGGATCTAAATCCCATCGAGCATGTATGGTATTTTCTAGGTAGACGCTTGGCAGCTCGTACCTTACCACCAGTAGCGATTCCGGAGCTTCGATTAGCGCTGCAAGACGAATGGGCAGCAATGCCTCAACAACTCATTGACACCCTCATTCTCAGCATGGGCAGACGCTGTGAAACCTGCCTAGCAGTCAGGGGAGATCATATCCCCTATTAAAGACCGGATGTTTCTTGCTGGACACCCATCACAGGGATGTTTCGGCCTTCAGTCGCATTGCGCTCCATGCTACTTTCTCAATAAAGCTTCTTTTTATCCCTCTGATTTCTCTTTTAGTAAGTGTTGCTTACATTACTCATGTCCTTACGTATTGGGGATCTTACGGTATTAAATGTGTTGATTTGGAAAGCTTTTGTACAAAGTTATATTGAAAAAACCGTCTCGTCCTTAATTTTTGCACACCGGTGTATTTTAGGGCTTGGTTGTACATATTTCAAAGAAGTAGCTTCTCTTTGCTCTCATCTTGTCTGGAAGATTACGTTAGCTCATTCTTATATTTCTATTTGTTTCTGTAAGTTTACTTGCTCTTATGTAACTTTTCAACTTGCAATTTTTGAAAAAATACTTTGGCAACTATACGTGCAGTGTAGTTTATTTTCGATCTCTCGCATAGCTAATGGAGTTTTAAAATTATATAGCCGAATATATAATTGTATATAAACTCAACATTTATTTTACAAAGGTTGTTTTTGTCTAGATGTAAGGAAAACATTTTAGTGTTGAAGGATTTTTTTTTATTTGAATACCTCAAATCACATTACAGTTTCCTCGATAGATTACCTTCGTTTTGGACAACCAATACTAGAAAAAGTCTCAAACTGGGTACTAACCTTTTCCTCGAAAATATAGTATATAGGCGTGTTTCATATGCTTCATTATGCTTTGAAAGGATTTATAACTATGTTTATTTTCCAGAAACTCTTGTGCTGTTGCAAATCAATGTTTGATTATTTCAGTTATTTTAAACAAAGTATCAAATAATTAGTAAGTGATAAAATGCATTTTAAGCACATCAAAATTCTGAATAAAGTAGAACATAACAGTTCTTTCGGAAAGCTGTAATTCTCAAAGGTATCCAGCTACGTTCTAATTGTAAATTTTGATGAAATTTTTTAAAACCGCTTTGTTACTTTGTTTTAAAGCTTATACATAAAGCTTTCCAAAACTACTTTTAGAATTGCAGCTGCTCATGTTCTACGCCGTGAACCGAATGTTTCTTTTTCAGAATCCGGAAGCTGTTGTCTAAAGGTACACAGACTACAAATTTTAAAATGATAATGTTTCATTTGAATACTTTTGGTGATGTTCAAAAGATAATAAAAAATATAACGGTTCAAAATTAACTGCTAGAGAACAAGATTAGTTTTGCAATTTAACTTCCATACTTAGCAACATTTTCTTTTCCTTCCGTTTGTGTATGCATTACATTAAACCTATTTTTTGAGAAACTTGATATTTTGAACTTTTCTGCTACGAAAAGAACTATAATTTAAAATATTACTAAAATAATTTTATGAAACTTTCCACAAATATTTTATGAAATATGGGGAATTAAATAGACTAAAAGGTTTTGTTTATGTATATAAACAAAATTTTTTTACAAAATTTTGTAAATGAAAAGAGAGAAATTTCTCAAGAAATAGCTAGTGCATGTACTCAGACATGTATATTTAATGCATGTATATTTAATAGTGCATATTTATTATAGTGTTATTTAATAGTGCATGTTTATATTAGATTTTAGTCCGTTTAATTCCTTGTACCTTAACAGAGATAAGGGACAAATATAAAACTTAAATAATGATAAATATTTTTGTAGGAATCCTGAAATTTAACACAATTTTAGTCCAATATGTAAGAAAAAAACTGTACATTGATAATATGTTTATTACCTGTTTCTATTATTTTAAGTAGTATTCTGAGACATAACACCAATAATAAATTTAATTGTACTATTTTCCAAAATTTGGGTATCCGAACATAGTCGGATACTTTAAACAAAATAGCACGCAAATGGTTGCGTTGAATAAAATTTTTCATGCTGATATTTTTACCAGTACTGGTTAAGTTCAAAAAGTTAAGAAAATACTATTTGTAGAATCTAAGGAAATTTGTGATATGCATCAAAATTTTTAAATTAAATGCTCCTTAAAAAACTGGAAGCGTACGAGTAAATTCAACTGTGTGCGAAAAGAAATAGCTGAGATAATAATTTTGGCTTTTTCGTAAAATAAATTATAATAATTTTCTCACGAAGTAAGTCTTGCCCTTTACGCAATTCAGTGATTCATTTTAATTTTATCAAAGCAATTGCTTCCATTACTAAAAATAAAAAACTATCAATAAGGGAATAAAAGTTCTATTATTTAACTAATTTTAAAATATTTTATTTTTCAAATATTACATTTTTTGTATCAAGTAAAAAATAGTGCAGATTTTTCCCTAAACATTATTTACCAATAATATATTAAAATATTATCTAGGTATTCTCATCTATGTTATATTCAAAATTAATAAACATACTCTTAAAATAAGTAATTAAACATCTCTGGAATTCTTATTAGATGTATAACTTTCAAATATTATATAAATTTCTAGGCATTTAAGTTATTAAATATATGCAACAATCATTTGCATTTTAACAGTTTGAGGTATGTCGTGGTGATGTTTAGAGCGCATTTTCATTTACCTATTTTTTATTTTGTGATAAATATATTGAACATACATATATCAACTTACTTATTCAGAAGTCAAACAACAAAAATCAGCGTTATATTTAAAAAATTTTCACATGTGTTGTGAAAATTTTGTAAATATAACGCTGATTTTTGTTGTTTGACTTCTGAATTAGTATTTATTCGGCGTGTTATTGTGTCTTAATCAACTTACTTGTAAACACTTTTAAGCCTTTCGACAATATGTGATGGTATTTCTTTCATTAAATCATCAAAGGATTTTGCTTTAGTAAGGTTGCAGAATTCTCGATATTCGTTATAGCCTGCTATACCATGATCTCGGGCTCTTTGAATATTCAGTGCTGCTAAATCCATTCCAGAAAAGGGCACTTGTTTCTTTTCAAATAAATGATTTGTCACCTCTTCAGTTATTGCATGATCCAGCGTTTCCATACTAGTCGCAGCAAGGCCTCTGATGATACTATCAATTGCATTAGCTACAATCGAATAAAAAATGGCATTTAGTATGAGGCGTCTGTTGATGCAAATTAATCAATAGCTTAAACGTATGGAAGTTTTCAATGGTTTTAATATGCTGTGTTAAGTAGCCAAGTGGATCGTCGTAAAAAAATTAATTTTGTTCAAAAATGTAATACTGTATAAAATAAGAGTATAGCATGGTTATTATGTGAACTGATAAATTGTAACAATTCAAGCTTTATGTCTACATGTGTCAAAAATATAAATAATAGTATATGTTCATAATTTAATTTTGTACTTAAGAGTTTAACTGTACTTCCTTCGTCTCTGAAACATTGTCAATTCTGTTCACATTTAGTTAACGTAAAATCTCATTCTGTCATATGTTTATTTCAGATAATTACAGAAGAATTCTGGAATAAAGAAGGAATGTTGTATGGATACAACACTTTCTTCGAGCTTCGATTTAAAAGTTTCATAGAAGGAAAGTACAAAAGCAATGAGAAAGGAAGCTGTAATACCAGTAGTGTTTGGACTCGTTAAATCTCTATATTTAAATTATCTTTTGATATAAATGCGATTAAATAAAGTGTTTTTTAATGAAATAAGTAGTTTTAACTGTGTAATACTTGGATGAAAATTCTAAAAAATTAATAACACACTGTCAAGTTTCTTGTTCGTTCCCGAAGCTTAAAGAGATGAAAGTGAAAGAAATATGCACTGTTTGGAATTTATGTTTTAACATATATATTTTTTACAAAATGCATGAAAATATATTTTATGGATGACTCTGGTATACAATATACTATGGTATACAATATACTATATAAGATAAATAAAATCTTTTTAAAGTTTTTACATGCAAAACAATCGCTCAGTTTAAAATGTTAGTAAACTAAATAACTACGTGATGAAAAAATTTCGTTCTAATGTAATTACTAATCTTCAAGCTAATACTTCTGAAATTTATGCACATTTGCCAGCTAGCACTCAGTTATACAATGAAACTCATTGACAAAACAATGGGTTCAAATTATATGTGTAAAAACATTTATATAAAATACAAAATCTATGATAAATGCATAGGTATTGCCTACGTAAATCACCGAATAGGAAACCAAGTTGCTTAGAGAAATGCATATTTTTTTTCAAATGTACTTAAAAAAGAATGCAAACATTTATGGCTGATTCTATTCATTTCATTAAAAACACTTTTGAAAACTGAAATGCGCCACCAAGCTGTAATTAACGCATCTAAACTTTTCAGTTCTATAGAAAGTTAATTGTTGCTTGATAAATATAAATGACTGAGAAAAATTTATAAAGCATTGCCTTCATTCAGTGCACATGTACGTAGTTTAAGAATAGTGACGAGTGTGTTTTGAGACTCGTAATGCATCTCAAATCTGCAAAGGCACATACATCTATCTACATATAGCATCCGATGTTTCTATTTATCCAATGGGTAAACACACATACACACACACAAAAAAAAAAAAAAAGATATTTAAGGCTAACAATTTTTTAAAAACTATTTAAAAATAGTTAAATTATTTTTAATAATGGCCGCGCGCTTTATGTAAGTTCAATATTACGAGAGTGGATAAAAAAAAGCTTACAAGGGTAATAAAAATTATTTATTAATAATAGAAAGAAAGTACGGAACGGAATTAAAAGACATATTTTCTTATCCCTTTTTCCCATGATCACCAAATCTACTCATATCCATAAATTAAGGATAATGCAAAATCAGGCAAAGGAAGAGTTAGAAGCGAAACAAATTTCACTTATTTGTAAAGCTTATTTATTAAACAAAAGGGAAAGAGCAAAAAAAGATGCTATATGTTTGATATTATTAAAAAAATTAGCGATTTTTTCTCCCTGGAGCAAATTACAAAAAAAAAAAAAAAAAAAAAAAAAAAAAAAAAAACCTATTCACAAAAAACCAATATTACATGGTTGGTATGATTGTTAGTACATTGTATGTCTCCCAGACAGTGCAATACAGTCCGTACAACGCCTAGGCAGCTGAGTATCAAATTATCGATCTGATCTTGGGGAGATATTACACCACTCAAAAAGCAATGCTCTTCGAAGTTCCGGTAGACATGGAGGAGGTTGACGGGCTGCAACTCGTCGGCAAAGCATGTCCCACATGTGGTCTACTGGATTCAAGTCCGGTGAGAATGCTGGCCAGTCCATGCGGATGATATCATCCGATTGAAGGCATTCGCTTACGATGTTTGCACGGTGAGGACGGGCGTTGTCATCTATAAACACAAATTGTGCGCCCATGGCGCCCCGAAACAAACGTACATGTTGTTCCAGAATGACGTCCCGATAGATTTGGCTTGTCATGGTTCCAATTTGAACATGCAGGTCAATTCTGGAACCCAGAATAATTCCACTCCAAACGAGCACTCCTGCACCACCGTAATGGTGTCGTTCAATGATGTTTTCTTGGTGGTAACGGGTACCTGGAGCTCTCCATAAGAAATTCCGGCGAGAATCAGACTGAAAGCTAAACCTGGACTCGTTGGAAAACATCACACAATCCCACTGTTGCGGTGTCCACAATGCATGTTCTCTACTCCAGGCTAACCGCAGGCGACAGTGAGTAGCAGTAAGTGGAACGCATCTGACAGGTCTACGAGCATATAGACCAATCTGCCCTAAGCGTCTGTACACGGTGTGCCTTAAAATTGTCGTACCAGTGGCTGAAGAGAGCTGACGAGACAGGTCTGAGGCTGTACTCCGCCTGTTTCTTTTGGCAGTAACTGCCAAATACCGGTCCTCATTCGGCGTTGTAACTCTAGGGCGACCTGTGCTGTAACGTCTGCTCACATTACAATCATCTTGGAATCGTTGCCAAAGCATGGAGATGACACTCTGAGCAATTCCAAGTTCGTCTGATACTTCCAGTTTGATACGCCCACATTCTAGACGGCCGATAATTCTGCCACGTAAAAAATCATCCAAATGCGTCCTTTGTGTCATAACTATTCGGTTATTGCACTGAAATGCTTATAAAGCACCTGCGAACAATTTTACTTCTTTGCCTGTATTCCTTATATATCACTCTCTTACACTCTCGTCATTGTGACGTACCATCGGTGTCATCTGGTTACTTCCTGAAATTTGTATATGATTCTTGAAGATGTGTGTAGTGATTTTACAGGTGATATATTTATTTTAGAGTTCGATTTCCGCGTGACTCCTAATTATCCTTAATTTATGGACATGAGTGTATTTAGGTAGTTATCTAAGTGAAAGATGAACTTGTTCAACCCTCTTGGTAGAAATCATATCCCTGCCCATTGAGTCAGTTCTCGGTGGCTGTTTTCACATCACTCTCTGAAGAGAATTTCATTCCGGATAAATGTTCCTTCAACTTCGGAAAAAAGAAATAATTAATGGGTGCAAAACCTGGGCTATATGAGGGTGACTCCAGAATTCCCACTTTTGCAGCAGTTCTAGCGTTTGGCGAGCAGTATGGGGCCGGGCATTGCCATGCAGGAGGATAACACCATCACTCAACATGCCAGAGCGCTTGCGTCGGATGGCTTCACGTAACCTTGTCTAAGTGGCACAATACCAATCAGCACTAACGGTATGACCACGTTTCAGATACTCAATCAGGACAACTAATCACGGCTCGAACCTCCAAGCGAGATAACTTTTCTAAACGTCTTGCCATTTCAATCTCTCCGAAGTGTCTGCGAACTTATTCTATCTACTCGAAAAACCGCTACTAGACAACTAGTGCTACACTCTGGGGGATAAAGTATTCCTTTTCTTTTTGGATCCACCTACGTACATGTACTCAGATAATATTTTTTTTAATATACAATCATGACATTTTCGAGATATTTTCCTTGCCCTAATTTACTCGAGCACAAACATTAGGATAACATAAAAATGTAACGCTGTTCGAGTTGACTGGGTTATTGTCATTTCTGCCACTATCATCCACTCGAATTAATTTAATCCTCTGGCCGGCTCGGGGTCTCACTCAGAAAGCTCAAATTTCCGAAAACTGCCATAAGAAAAAGGTATTTTCTTGATTTAAATGCCAAAATACCTGGATTTACGCACTTTTAGTACATTAAATTACACAAATTTCAAGATGCACGTATATCTGCGTTCTTACAGACATCACAAAAAATATTCTAGTCCGTATATATACGGCCTTGCCGGTCAGGTGCGGAACTAAATCAAGAATTGATCAGCATTGTTCAAGTTTAATACGCGGAACCCTATGGTAACGAAAATCCATATTTGATATGAATTATTTGCAGTAAAAGGAATAAGTGAATGACAAAAATAATTCAGAGCTGTTATTTAAAAATAAATATATTTATTTTGTTCTTGAATTATCAAAATTTTCAACTTACGTGTGAAAAGCATATCCGAGTTGAAGAAACTTTTCCTCAGATGTAAAGGCTCGCTGAGTACACGGTATCCACGATCGAGCCTATCAAATGCAGGCTTCAAAAGACTATGGCCGAATCTGAATGCAGCAGCAGCAAATTCGTTGAAAGCTGTAGGATCACATGTGGGATCGTATCCTTTGTAATAACCTTCCACCTGCGGGCGTAGATCATACTTATTAGCGAAGCTTTTGCCAAGTATTCTTGAAGTGAATTCATTGTAAGTGATATGCTGATTGATGGCAGACAAAATTCTTCTTCCTAGAAAAGGTTCATTCTGAACTTTTAATATCAGTTATCATACACACACGCACTCACATAAATTATTAAATTTTCTTGCATGATACATTTCATGAAATAAACTAGAAATACCAACATAAGTTAATTTCGATGGTGTATTAAGTGCATTCGAAAACTGCACGTTAATTGAGATTGATAAAATAGCAGATATCAATATCAGTCAAAACCCTTTTTTAAATTGTAAAAGATTTTTTCCCAGCCTTCTATGTATATGCGTGACGATAAAACTATTTTCGTTATTCAGATTCACTTTGTTAAATGAATTCTACGGCACTCTATAAATAATTTCATTTTTTTTCCCGAATTTTTATACAAGGCCTTTCAAAGAGACTGCAAGACTGACTATTTCTTGAGTCATTTGTCATAGAAACATGGCTCCAATTTAAGAAATGAATCCAAAAGTTTGTAACAATTTTGGTCACATGGTACCTTACAGCAAAAGTATTACTAAATGGTGCAGTGTAACCGCAGTTGTTACAGACAGAAATCCTTCTTTTTATACCATCCCCTAGAAAAAAATATCCACGAAACGAAAATGTTTCATAGCCAAAATAATCAAACAGCAGAATAATAATAATAACACACTAAAATTCCCCGAAATGTAATTAAAATTTTTCGTATGTATATATTACTAGAAACAGCTAGACCAGGTCCCTCCAGGTACATTATAATGACCGAATACCTCATACAATGAAATTGGGATCATCTATATGTGGCTAATGCATCTTGTGAGCCCACAATAAAATTAAGTAAAAATGGGTTTATAAAATAAGCTTTTATTTAAACTCATAAAATAACTAATAAACTAACAGCAGAAAAATAATTCATAATACAGTTTCATGGAAACAAGAGATTAAATAATTCTCTTTGCAAAATTTATCTTTTATTATCTTAATTACAATTTTATATCACGAATAATAATAAAAGTGTGAGGCTCTAGTGATAAATTTCCAAAGGTAATGGCTGATACTTTTGACAATGCAGTTCGACTAACAGATTTCGTTATTTATAAATTTTGCAAAGAGAATTGTTTTATCTCTTATTCCCAAAAACTATATGAAAAATTGTTTTTCTCTTTTAGTCCTTTAATTAATTTTAAATCAATGCTTATTTATTGAACGTTTTTTGGTTTTATTTTATTTTCATCTTTTCAGTCTCAGTAACACGGCATCAATCAAATCATTCAACTGAAAAATCGTTTCAACAATGAAAAAACATTCATACTTTTAGAAATTCAATTACGTTAAATATTTGAAAAAAATCAAGCGATTTTCGAAAAATTTAAAAAAAAATAACACAGAAATTACATTAAAAATTTCATGTAAACTACATTTAAAAGATGAACCTATAAAAAAAACCATGAGTGTCAGGCAAAAATGTGTACTGGCTACAATTATGAACCTGTAGAGAGCCAAGTGAGCATTATTTTTGCAGTCCATTCTTCCGACTCTGAAATCTGGCAGAAAAGGAATTATGGTGTGAATCTGTTTGAATTTTTGACCTTAGTCCATTGGTATTGGGTTTTGAACCCTTTCTGCAGAAACCTATGAGAAAGTATTGGGCAATTCTGTGTTACCCAATCTGTATCAACAATCTGCAATTGGTTCTTATCATTTATAAGATATTCCTCCCGCTTTCCTAGCGTGCCTTCATGGTGTAGTGGTTCTGCACACTGGGCCGCCATTACAGAGGTCCGTGGTTCGATTCCGGGCGAAGGAGTTTCCTAATTTTTCATCTTTCCTGCTTACAAGTTAACTAGTATCTCTACAAATTTTCAACATGAAATTCACCTGTTCATGAAATAAAAGTTACCTTGTGGTTAGAAGAAATGAGATAAAAAGAACTCAGACTGGTAGATCCGAAGCCCTGTTCTCAATCAGATGTTACATTTCTGGAATAAGTTGGAATAAGTTTCTGGAACGGTGGCTCCTTTGAAGACTGGCTGAAAGCAAGACCAAATCGGTTTAAAACCACCCGGAAATTCTCACCATTTTGCAGGCGGAATAGAAGAAAATACCTGCAGATGTTTATCGAAACTTAATGGGAAGTCTTTCTAGAAGAGATAAGTGGACCTGCATCATATTGACACCACACTAGCTTCAGTTAAATAACTTTTCATGTGCACCCAATCATTCATGACGACATAGTTTTGAATGCATATTTCTGACAGATAACTTTTACTCAGAAAGAAGCATTTATATAAAAGTAAGAGGTGTTAATACTCTATTCGAAACTGGATATTTTCTATCCCACAAAATTCAGTTTCTTATAAGCACTAAAAACATCTCCTTTTCTGGTTAAAGTGATTTGTGTAATACAATTATGTGAGTTGTTTCAGGGACAATAACGGTGGCTCCTTTGATTTCCTTAAAATGCCTTTAATAGGCTGATTAACACTTTATTAACACAATTTTCTTAGCAGGACAGACTGGACAGACAGCCCATATGAAATTTCAAATTCCTTGTTTTTCTTACTAAAATGTGTCACATAACCAAAATTATCATCGTCTGAATGCCTAATTTACTTGATTTATTTCTTAAATTGAAGACCGTTTAAGAAATATTTATTCTTACAATAATTTAGGAACATGATGCATAATTATGTAAAGAAAGATCAAATAAGTTAGTATTTTGTAGTTAATATTTCAATATTGTTTGCAGTTTTAATTTTAAGACCTTGAGCATAATGTTTAAATTACAGTCCTCAGTAAAATGAAGATATGAGTAAGATTGCTTATTTGAGCTCTAACTGAAAAATTATCGTTTTGAAGAATATATGTTCGAAATTTTGTTCTTAACTCTGAAAAACAGTATAAGTTATGTAAATCTTAGCTGTGAAAAGGAGAATAAAAGTACATGAAATTCGATAAGAATTATACAAATGCAAAGCATTCAAAAACTCCTCCTCAAATAATATAATCGTTCATGACCATACATTTGACATAAGCCGAGACATGATACCACTTTTATTTGTGAATGCTAAAAAACATGATTTATTTGGACAAGGATGTTGATCTTCAGGACCTAGCTTTCAGAATCAGACAATCTTGTCAGTAATTTTATGTTATGAGTAATCAACCAAGTGTTAACAAGGCTGCATCATCTACTGGATCTTCCTTGTTACGAAAGCGCGGTTCACTTTGAAAAGTTTCTGTAAAATTCCTAGATTTCCTACTTCTAGTACTGCTATGCAAATGGAAGGAAATTAAACGGCTTTAGTGGAATAATATTGTTTACTGAAATGATATATTTATAACTTACCATGTTGGTATAACATTTCATCGCTCCAATGCGGGTTAATTCTTTGGAGTTTGGCAACAATTCTGTTGTGTTCTCTCATGAATATTGTATGAATAGCTGCTAACGCAGGCTGTTCGCTAGCCCTTGAATCACCTATAAACAAATCATAATCGCTATTAAGTTTTTGAATCAGTAATAAAATGCTTATTATTTTGTCCCATATATTTTACTTCATAAATTAATATCCAAAATTATGTTTACATACATAAAATATTGATAATTCAAGAAATATCTAGTCAGTATGATTTATGTTCTCACGAAAGAATTAAAAGGTCAACCTAAAATTTGTGTTATCTAATCCAATTTCGATCAACCTGTTTCTGGAATGCAAATAACGGTATAATATTATTCAAAAGCGTGACAATCGATTTGTATAAAATGAATTTCCACACGATCTTTTATAGCTCATCATTTGATTTTAATATTTATTAAGTGAACTCAACTCTTCATTACGTTGAAGTACCTTTTAGAAGTATTTTTGAGGTGAAAGGTTTGTAAGCGGAACAGATAATTACGAAAGTAGAGAGATAGTTGGATGTTCAAGATACATGATATAGAGCCTCTGCAACTAAATTAAAGAGTGAAACTGTTTCTAATACGTGGGACAAAGTCATAGAATAAAGTAACTTCTCATAAATTTCGGTTTTCGTTCACACCTGCTTTAGGAACAACAGCTTGACTACTAATTAACTGAGTTGAGACCTCGCAGCCGTCCCTAAAATTCTCTCTCTAGTATACATAGAAAGCAATGAAAAGTCTTAACAAGAAAAACTTTATGCCAGAAAAATAAATGATCTGTGTCTCACAATAAAAGGTCTGCCAGAAACGAAGCAGAAAATGTCGGAGCTCGAAGCTACGACAATGTTTCTTCTTCAAAGGCGAGGTGAAAGTTCAGTTTAACAATCGATTTCACATGCTTTTAATTTTACAAGGAACCAGGAATACCAAATACTCTTCCTAACAAAGGGTTGCAACCATTAGGGTAGCGCAGATGTGATGGTATGGGGAGAAGTAATGATGAAAAATTGTATTCCACCGTACATGTATGACACCCAATTTGGGCCTGCTCAGAGATATTGAGATCAAACCCTATAACCTTACATATATCTACAAAAATATGCACATGGATTTGAAGTCCATTCTATGGACAATAGCGGGTATTCACGGTATAACAGCTTGGTTAACGAATTTCTTGGAATCGAAGGCCCTAAGCGAATAAACTAATCGGACCAAACCGCTGCTTTCTACTAAATATCCATAAATAATCTACTAAATATCCTTAAAAATTCCATTGCACGAGAAAGTTTCCCATTTACAGATCTCGATGCGTTGAACATCATATTAGTAGAAAAAAGCAACTTGCTCCTTCATATCATAATTGTTGTTTCTTATGGCTTTATTCGGAAATCAGTCCATTTAAATTAATGCATTTACATCAGACCACTCGCTAAAAACAAAACATTAAATTCAAAATTACATCACCAAAATATAAAAAACTACAGTATAAATATTCAAGTCTTTAAAGTACCAAAACATTAAGACATAAAACTTTCCCAATTAAAATCTTAAAAATCTTCAGTGATTAGAGGCGAAGCAATCATGTGCTCAAGACATCAGATCCCTGGCCATCCAGTACAGCAAGAAAACGTCACCACTATATTGTAACTTAGAGTCAAGGTCTGGACACGTAGCAAGTGATACTTATTCACAGAGTCTGTTTTACAAATAGGGCACTGGTTGAAACACACTGCACATTCAATATGCCTATTCTGCTGAAATGTTCGTCTAAGCAACCGTGCCTGTACCCAGTCTGAAATTAGCCACAGCCTCTTTACGTGGCCTGCGACTGAACTCATTACAATAATAACAATATTAAAAGTGTGAAATTGTATTGTAATGCATGGGCACGAGTTTGAATTACTACCAAATCAATGAATATTTGTAATCTTTCCTGATTGTAAAACTATATTTTCTTATCTTCCCCTGATATAAAGAATTGAGTAGAAGTTTACAGTAGGTGGCATTATGGAGCTTTCTTCACTTGTTTATTCATGAGACAACGCTAATCAAAAAATCTTTTTAGTAGGCCTTGCCAAGCATTAATCACTCAGATTATGAGATAATTTTCTTACATACATGAAACATCTACTGAAAAATTAATAGATAACACTTTATAGTATCACTCACATAAAACACTCGGCAAGCTGGACCATTCTAAGCCCTTAAAGTTTATTACGTTGTAGGGATTTATATTTATTTTAACTAACAAGTTAAAGTTTTATTTTAAACTTTCCTATAAGCCTTCATTCCTCTGATTGTCAGTGCCAGAATATTTAAATTTTGTAGCGAGTGTGAAGGAATGCAAATTTCTATTTTGAAGAAGGTATTTAAAAGCCGAGTTTCGGTAGAAGAAAAGAGAGAACTTTGAACGGCTCTTTGAACTTTGAGAAACTTTGAACGGCTCTAGCCGCTACCTCTGCAGTAGATACGTTTGTTTATTGCTGGTTCAAGTGGCTTAATTATATTTATTTGCTGCCACTAGCTTCGAAGGAGGTTTAAGTTATAAGATCTCGCTGAGCCCTTTAGTCTAGTTCTATCATTCGTTAATATCTTCAGATTTTAGTTTCGTTACTTGATTTTTTAGTTTCCGCCCAAGCAGAGGCGAAGTTTATTAGCGTCGAGTTGCGCATTGTAAATTTTCAAAGATTAAATAAAGGGTAGGTTAACCCTTCTCTTGTGTAGTTTCCTGCTACTCCAGTTTCATACAGAGATTTATTTACTAGATTCCACAACGTTCTGAAGCCAAGACGATGAATTTATTAATTTTTTTACGGATCATATGTGAAAGGAATTTTTTTAATTTATTTGCATTGTATTCTTAAAACTAGTTGGCTATTTCAAACTTACATCCTTCACTAAGCGAAGATTCAAGAAACTTTGAACGGCTTCTGTACACAGACTGATATATTACAATCAACAAAACTTTAAAATTCCGATAGATCTTAAATTAGGTTTCTTACATGCAACTTGCATTATAAAAATTTAAATTCTGAAAAACCATTTAGAAGATTTTTAAGAAAGAATTCAAAATAGCATACCAGCTTCAAAACAAAGCCCAGAAGGTGCCACACAGTCTTTATGATTACTTGTCTGAGGTAACAGGTCTTTAGCACCATGTGGATGCTTTGTAACGTTCAGCTTTCCTCCAACGAAAGTCCTTAGCATTCGTGCTTCACATCTGTCAGATCCATACACATTTGAAGAATCAACAAATGCTGTCACTTGATTTATCTGCTCTCTACGACCTAAAATGTGAATACAAAATAACATCTGGTAAAAGATATAAAAACCCATATTTCACATTTACGTCCTTCGATATACTTTGTATATCCCACTTTCTTTTATTAAAGACTCTAAAACCGATACCCTCTTAAAAAGTGCGATTTCCAGATTTTGAAACAAAATTATGACAGTAATTTATTAATTTTAAGGGTATTTCCCTCAATCAAGTTTCTATGCGAACACGTGGAGTAATGTACTTTAAAAATCTGTAATTAATTTCATATCTATCAGCTTTAAAACTGGCTTCTCACACAGAAAACTGAATATAACTAATTATGTTTATATCTAGACCCTGTCCATACAATTTAGTACTATATTGCAGAATTCAGAATTGAAGTACTAAGTAGTAAAATAGCAGTAGTTCTGAAATGCAGTACGTCTGAGCTGCGCAATCTTTAAAGAGGAAAATTACTTCAAACGTTCACGAAAAATATTAATGAAAACAATGATTCAATGTGGAATGACACTGGAAACAAGCATGATAACATTTATTTTTATGTATGAAGAAATTTTATCTAAACCTGAAGGTAACAGTATTACCAGCTGCGATAAATTAGTTATCGAAACCCTAGTAACTGTTAGTTCACTTAGAATTAGAGGTATTGATATCTGCTTTGCTTATGTGCGTGCTCATCATGGTTTCTACGGAAATGAAAGAGCTGATTTCTTAGCTAAAGATGCCTTAAATTTACCCATTGATATCAACATTAGCATTCCAAAGAGTTATTGGAAGTCCTTTCATTATAAAAAGCTTTTAGCTATGTGGAATGAGGAATACATTTCATCTTGTAATGCTGAAGTCACCAAAAAGTTCTTTCCTTCTATTTACCATAGACTGAATTCTGAGTCTTTCCTCTCGTTAAATTTTATAGTGTCTCAGTTTTATCTGGTCACGGTAAATTTGCAAGTTATCTGTTTCGTTTTAATCTACGATCAAACAATTTATGTGAATGTTCAAAAAGAGTTCCTCAGGATGTGGAACATTTGATTTTCTCGTGCCCTACATTTGATGGCCCTAGATTATGCTTACAGAACGATTTAAAAATGTTCGGAGTGACTTGGCCAGTGAACTTATCTGTTTTCGTGAAGTCCAGACTGCTGTTCTCTGCTTTTGTTCGCTTTATTTATGCATGTAATTTTTAATGTTTATTTATACATGTAACCTTTAATGTTTTAGTTAACTTACTTCTGTAAGCCCCGTGTTGTACATATGTGGTGCACGGGGAGTCTGTATGTTCTCAAAGGAAAAAAAAAAAAAAACCTGAAGGTATAAATAGTAAACATATTTATATGTAATAGAACTTGCTATATCTCGACAGAATTATCAATAACCATGTAACGACAAAACGATACTTTGTATTTGTAATTAACGCGAAATGCGCAGTGAAATGCAGCAGTTATAAAAAAAATAAAATTAAGGTACAAAATTAAATTCATTACCTGAGGAATTAGAAATTAAATGTTTAGTAATTATATTCATTTCTACAATAAGGATAAGTAAATGTCAGTAATCTTACCAAGTGTCAGTTGACCTGACAGAGATCGGACGAATGATATGCACGTAGGTCGGCCAGTTGTGACGTTAATTGGAGGGTAAAAAGGATCATTAATTGGAATTTTAATCGGAAGGCATTCAGGATGGATAGATCTAGAAGACTCACAATCCGAGCAGTCCAGTGGTTTTCCATTAGCTAAATCAGAAGAAATATAAAAATGATATTGTAAAATTATGACATTACAAAATCAATAAATGCCTTGCTTATTTCTATCAGAGTGCACGAATTCTCTCTTCAACATTTTTATTTTAATAATACTAGTTGTTCTAACATTAATTGCGTAAGCAGAATTTAATAACATTTGATGTAATACTTGATTTTTCAACTTATATTGTTTTATAATTTTATCTAAGTTTCTAAAATTTTCTAGCGTCTCTTTTCTGCTTTTCAACAAGTTTAATGCTTTTGTTTGCATATTATAGCATTTTTTTATATATGTTTTCACAAAGAAAGGTTAACTAAATGGGATCATATTGCTTAAATTGAATTTCAAAACACCGGAAAACGTTTTACTGAGGATTTAAAAGTTAAACACCCTCTCAGTGAATCAGTTACAAGAAGATCGGTTTATTTAACTTGTCAAGTCATGAGGTTATTTCGAAGCAGAAATGTGAAAAATGTGCACTGCCCTCGCCGGTACTCGAACCAGGACTCCTCGAACCGACTCTGCTAACGTTACTCTGCTACATTAATGTTTCGAAATTGCGACTCCGGAACGTGACGCAGACCTCATATCTCCGACCCATGGAAAATCCGATGCTGTGAAAAGTACCGAACGTGCCCCGGACGCGTAATGGCAGACCGCACATTGAGTTGAACAGTGTTAAGCGAATTTCGCTTACTGCGCATGCTTGATGGTGTACCTTTGGCGCGGGGAGAAATATTGGCGACTAAGCAACCCTTCGTTAGCTTATTCGTGAATCTTCCATGGCTGTCTAGTGTGGTTCGAGTGATGTTTAAAATTGCAATGTTGTGGAACTGGTGTTCATTAGTTATTTTAACGTTGCTTATTAGTTATTTTAAAGTCCATGCCGATTGCACTTGCTTATTTTTCTAATATATGTTTCATTTTAATTTGTCAATAAACAGTGCATTTAATATTTGTTAACATATGTTCGTAATAATTCGTTATTTAAATGTAATTTGTTTACATGTTACAATTCAGTATTTGTAAACTGGAGTATCTCGCTTAGTTTGTTAGCGTATATTCGCGCTTTTATTTTCTCATTTCAAAGAATTTAATAACTAGCATTAAAGAATTGTAAAATTTCTTCAGTGTTATTTGCAAGCACTTGTTATATTCCTCAGTGTTTCTTTATGTATGTGCGAATGGAACGTATGGTAAATACTAAATTTTTTTTATTGCTTAAAAGTATAATGAATAAATTTTCAACTAATATATCCTAAATTTCAGTCTTTTGCTGAACGAAAATTTGTACAGTTCCAAAGGAATGTGCAGAATTTCATAAGTATTATATTTTACATTTTGAATGTAAACACTGCTTCACATTACTTCGCAATAATTTCAGCTTTCTAGTTGCTTGAGCAGTATAGCAAAAAATAGTATTTTAACACAGTAATTAATTTACATTTACATTATACTCTACGAAGATTTAAACGCCAGATTTGTTTACAATTAGACGGCGATACATCTACCATATACCGTATTTATCTTCTTTTCAAATCGCACCAACATAATAATTACGCCAAATTGTTTTCTGCGCATGCGCAGTATGCGACATTCGTCTAACACTGTTCAACTCAATGTGCGGTCTGCCATTACGCGCCCCGGACTTCTCCGGCACGATGTGTGCAACAATTTCCTCACAACTGTTAACGGAGGTTTCGTACCCCAGTGCTTGATGTACCCCAGATGAAGTACTCAATGCGAGTGAGCTCAGGCGATCTTGCTGGATAATGCACCGGACCACCCCTACTACTACACCAGGAAAGCGTTTCCGATCATTCATTGCTATGTGATTTCCATTGTGTACTCTATTTCTCCTGAAAGTTCGTAATCGCTGTATATATAATTTCTTTTCTAGTAAATTTTTTAACATATTAGCTCCTTTGAAAACAATAGTTAAAATTCTATGAATTAACTCATTAGCATATTTAAAATGGTATTATTAAAATAAAATAGTAAAGGGTATTATTAAAATAAAATAGTAGGGTATTTCATCATATATACGTACACAGTTTTCCTACATATACATATAATTTTTTGTTTTCGGCATATTACTTTCTTTTACCTTGTTTTCTTTGTATGTATATATATACAGAAAAACCCTGTACATGTATATGCTGAAATACCCTGTATATTCATATACATATATATATATGGAGAGAGAGAGAGAGAGAGACTTATAATTTACTGGGCAACTTTATCTTTGTCAAGATGTATGTCAGGACTTGTGTTTCTCTTGGTTTGGTTTGGAAACATGAATGGTCCTGAATAGGAACAGGGAGCTTACTCAAGCAACGTTCAAGAATGTGTGAAGTAGACAACACAAGCAGGAAGGGTATACGAAACCCTTTATTTTCAATACTTTACAGGTACTTCCGAACGTCGGAATACGGAGACCAACCACTTATGGTCTGAACGTAAGAATATAAAACTACTAACTAAAACTCTAACTAAAAGCTAACTTTGAATTAGTATACAAATGCCTAGCACTAAGACTGGTCTTTATTTAAAAGGGTGCGTATGTACTACGCCGAGCTGCTGGAACTACAATACGTTCGCAAATATCAAGATGGCTAAACCTCTGGCCTTAAAGGCAACCAGCAACCGAGTGAAAACTCGTAAAACTGCAGTGGCAAGCGGCTTGCTTCCTGAAACTCCTTCTCTCTCTCTCTCTTGGCAAAAAGCCACAACTTAAGTACTTGGGCGTTAGCAAGACAATTTGCATAAACAAGTTAAAGCATTTAATTCTGGCCGGAAGGAGAAAATAAGAAGTGATAGTACAGTTTTAAAATAAAATAAACGCTAGTAAAACTTAGGATCCTTTCAAGTAAATTATAATAAACAGTAGGATCTAATCGCACGTATTGTATTTGTATTGCATGATTCTTGTTCATCACAGCTGCAACCGAATTCTTTTTACAAAGCACGAACATTTTCCTGATAGAAGGAATCTCCGATATAGAGTTTATGAAAGTGTATTATTGTTATAGCTGTTACACAGCAGTTTTAACAGTAAAATCTTTTTTTTTCTTTTTTCGAATATGTAACACGTTTATAGCGTTAAGAACAGCTGTCAAGTTGCGTATAATATGTGCGACAGCACATTTTCTGCAATTTCATTGTAATCCATTTAAATAATACTACAACAGATATAACGAGGATACATTAAGGCGTATTCATTTGCTGGTAACAGCTGTCTTTAAGTTTTCATTTCAACTTTGCTACGCTTTACATAACGCACTGTTTCTTTTACTACTATATGTCCAGACTATTTAATGTGTTAAGAGAACGTTACCTCTGATCCGTATAACATACAAAATTAAGTTCTCGTAAAGTCGATGCTCGGAAGCTAAAGTAGAAAATCATGCAAAGAGAACATATTCGTATTCGGAACGTATTCGAAACAATCACATTACGCGCAGATGTTTCTGTATTGCTTTAAACGAAATAATTATATTTTACGAATTAAACTCAAAGTAAACAACTTAAATATCAGCTGCAGTATATTTATTTCGAAAAACAGATGCTTGATTCTAGAAAACGCTCATTAAAATGAATTAACGATATAAATTCAAAAGTTGAATTTTAAATTAGGTATATTCTGCGATAGTTTGCGACAGTTAACCACTCAAGAGAGGGTGAAAGTATACGAATGCATATGTAATCTTATACGTGAATATATTTTAATACAGACACTATTTTACTTTACACTGAATTAAAAAGGCATCGAAGCGACATAGAAAATCTTGACTTTAAAGCCTCGAAGAGAGTTTGTTCCCTTCTGTAGTTCGTCAAATACGTTTCATGAAAATTTTTTTGAATAACTAACAGGATAATAGTTATTTCAGCTGCAAATCAACTATGAAATCAATTGTCATTAACAATAATCATCTGCAAACAGAAATCAGACTTATGTTTGGTAATATGAAAGGCAAAGTAGTCTCTAAACACCCCACTGTAACTCTCACTTATGTTTCGTAACTCTCACTTATGTCTGCTTAAAATATACTTACGGACATAGAAAGCAATTAACAAAGTATATTTATTAAATATAAAAATAAAAGCGCTCATGTTCTTTATACTTAGGTCTAATCAAAAAATTTTGTGTTTAGAAAATATAAAATAGATAAATTACCGGAATTCATAGGTGTAAAAGTTATGTCGTGATCTAAAAATTGTCCCCACTGCATTATCATCATAGAATATCTCACGTGAGGCGCTTGAACATCAAAATGCACTTGAGTTGAGATAACTCTGCCACTGGGTAAAACGCTGCCCAAACGGCCCTTACTTCTAGGGGAACTCATATCTAGATTGAATAAAGAAATTCAAAAACGAAATTAATAATTACACAAAAAAATTTTATAGATAAATAAGGAATTTTCTGAGTAATGTTTTTTCACAATACATTTTAAACTACATATCGATCTGAAAGCAAATGAAAAAGATATACTCTCCTGCTCAAAAAATAAGTAATGCAAGCAAAACACGGAATAAAACAAACTATTTAATGGATATGCGTGAATTTGATCCATGAGGTTGGAATTACTAGACCACATTGAGAACAATAAAGCAAAGACATACAAAAACACAAGTATTACGATCATCACATGACGAAAGGCCAAATGGGTCGAAAGAACGTGTAATGGAAACATCAGGCTAATAACGGGTATGATAACTCCTAACTGAAATGCATACTTGATAACGGCGAGACAATGTGGTAATAGAGTCGTTGATCACTTATTGCAGCAGTACAGCTTATTCTGCAGCTCCTGCATTTCATGTCGGAGCTCGTGTAGGGTACCCAGCGGCCCACTGCGATCTGCTATCCATCGTTCCAACATGTCTCACACATGCTTCTTGGTATTCAGGTCCGGTGAACTAACAGGCAGCGGCAGATGTGGAATGGCTTCACTCTCCGCACCTCCACACCACTCGAGTCATATGCGGAAGGGGTAATCGTCCAAAAATATTGCGTCGGTTCCCATTGCAGCGACAAAAGCACACCCAAGAGGGTGTAGAATTTGGTCACGATATAGGACGGCTGTGATGGAATCACATAGAGGTCGGTACGATTTTTCGTTTCTATCCCAGCCCGTACAAGTAAGCCTTCTCCTCTGTAATGGTCTCTTTCGACGATGTCTGGTGATAGCCTGCCCCTGGCTTTCGCCATATCATTGAACTTAGGGAATCGTTCAGGATGTTAAATCGAAACTCATCCGTTAAGAGTACGTAGCCGCACATGTCTGGTATCCAACTGCGTTGTTAATTCAACCGCGTTCTGACATGTGATGAGGGAAAAGGAACACAAACCATAGATCGTCGGACGTACAATCCACCTTAATGCACATTAAGCGACATAGTTTGGCGGATATGGGCCGTCCTGCAGAAACAGAGAGATGTGTTGCCAGCTTTCGTGCTGTTAATCATTTGCGGCATCTTGCATATAATAACAGGAAGCGATCATCTGGTATCCTTGTGGTAATCCTCCGGTGTAATACCCAAGTCTTCTGCAGAGATTTTGATCTCTTTGGTGACAATTCCACAGACTATTGATGGCACTACTATGCAAATTCAGGTCTATCGCAACAGCAGATTGTTTTTCACTAGCTTGCATTATCCCAACAAACCTCCAACACATTTTATCGTGCAATTGATGTCTTCGGCTTATGCTTTCCACTTTAGCCGTCTCTGATTACACGGAACTATCGCTGCTTGCGAACTGACATCTAGAACCAACATGCCCCTTTTTAAGGCGTTGTTGTGGGATTTCGTTTTATGCTGATTTTAATTGCCTATTTGTATTCGGAGATGCAACCTTTACCTCGTACGTAAATTGTGAGTTTTAATTTCCCTTTTTACATTCGTACCATTCCTTTTAACGTTTGTTGCTTATTTTTGAGCGCGAGTGCATTTTAAATTTAGTGAGCAATATCAGTGTTTTAATAAAAAGACATTATTAATTTTTTTAAAGCTGAGTTCTTAACGAATCAAATTGAACAATAAATATGTAACGATCTGAGGGGTCTTTCTAGCTAACTGAGTGCATTTCGTAACCACTCACCCTCAATCGTTACCTTATCTGTGGTGGCGAGTCATCGCCCTTAACGTAAACTGAATGCGGAAGCAACAAACGTACAAAAATGCGTTTCTTTATGCCTTATGCTCACGTTAGTTTCCTGACTACTCGTGTGGTAAATTAAAATAACACCGACGTAATATCTAAATATTTGTAGACTATTCAGCTATTAGCTGGACAAGAATTGAATAGGCTATTATATCAGGGTTCCTACTCGAAGCAACAAATAACACAAGGATCGGACAACCTAACTCTAAATTGAAATTACATATACCTGATGTCTACCAAGCCGTGACTAATGTCTGTCGATGATTCTTAATCTAACAGCGCCTTCTGATGGCAAGGCAAGTCGTCGGCCGTAGCAACAGGAGAAAGTCTCAGCTACAAGTTATGCGGTTAATGATTCTTCCTCTTAATTTAAACTACCCCGCTTGTTCACAAAATCTGAATAAACCTCTAGACCAGGGGTTCTCAACCAGTGGTACGCAAGAGAAAAATAAGTGGTACGCAAAAGAAGCAAAATATTTTTAACTATTAAATTCAAAATTTAAAACCTCAACATCCTGATTGAGAATTTTCTCTAACAATGGTAAATTTATGCGATCTGAGCTTTGTTCAAGAGTGGTGGTGGTGGTAGTATTTTATAGTGGTGGTACTACAGGTTTTCAATTTTTGTTTAGATCGTACGCGTTAGTCAAAAGGTTGAGAACCGCTGCTCTAGACTGATCAATTGAGTGATTAAATGAAGTATATGCTCATTAATATTAGTTTACACTATGGAAAAAGGGGTGAATGCTCTTATGTAATAGTTAAATGAAGTGCCACAAGTGTTAATGAAAGAATATTCAGCATTTATTTAAACGGATTGAATGATTCACTTTGAGAAACGTATAAGAGAAGATTTAAATGTATGGTAATAAACGAAATATTTCGCTTTTATTGCAAAAGTGTTATCACATTCTGTTTATCTGACATCTATGTTTCCATACTATTGTTTCACTGGCTCAGTAATTGAACTATACAACAGAATCTATGAATGAAACGAAAATCTGGATTAGGCTTACTTGAACACCCTACACTTCCAACCTAGCCAATCAGAAAAGCTTTTTTATCTATACACACAATTGTTTTCATATCGGAAATATACGTTGTTCATTCGTCAAGATACTTTAGACTTGGGATTAAAACAAAACACACTGATTATATTTTCATATCATTAAAAGAGTTTTCTAGTTGAGCATACTATAAAAATTAGAGAATATTAAAGGAAAATCGTATCTGGCTTCATATCTCATCATGTGTCCAAAATTAAGTCCATCTTCATTAACTTTGCATATTAGAAAGTATACATTCTCCAAAACAGCCATAATTCGGTGTTCCCGCAGATAATAATACTTCTAGGATGAAAAATAATTACGACAGTAAGATCATCTAAGAATTCCATGCTAATCGTCGAGATGAATACTATATTTTTGTGCTAAATGCATACGTTATCAGGAAAATGAACTATTACCATTAAATCACCTACCACACACATTACCAGGAAAATGAACGATTTTTTACTTTCTTCGTTCGAGAGCTAGATTACTGAAAGATGTCAACACATTGCTAACAGTTCTCTCATCAAATGAAAGTAGTTTCCTCTGATGCATTTGAGAAGCATCAATATATAATGAAAGAGTATTCACATGACGCTCTCTGTCTTCTCCTTATATCATCAAAATTATTTAAATTTAATTTAATTCATCAACATTTCATATTACTTACAAACTATCGAGTTTCCGTCAAACAGACTACTACGTACCGTCAGCATAAGAAGATGGAAGCAAGCGAGAAAATATTCTCATGCTCTTCCCCCACTCGGGATTATTTAAATTATTGCACCATCCTGTCATGGTTCGAAATTTTGTTGTATGGTCACACGGAAGTGTTTGATCATCACAATCAAACACTTTAGGTATATCCAAGAGATCGTCAACATCAACGTTAGGCAAAGCAGCCATTAAATCTCTTATACTATTTGAAGAGCCATCTTCTACATCTCTTTGGTTTCTGAAAAAGAAAAGAAATGGAAAAAAAAAAAAGCCTATTAGGGTTAAAAACCGCATTGCATTTGAAAATATAATTCATGAAAGGAACATAAAATTCTGCAAATGTACGTAGAATTTTTATTTTGTAAATAAATATAGTATAAAAGGTATAGTACATGAATGGCACGTAAAATGTAGTACTTATTGCACAGGATTTTTGTTTTAAGAACAAATATAGTACACAAAATATAATGTAGGCACGGAACATAAAAATATTTTACATTATATGAATGGCACAGAAAATGTTGTATATGTTGCACAGGATTTTCGTTTTAAGAACAAATATAGTACACAAAATATAATGCAGGTAGGAAACACAAAAATACTTTAAAGTATTTTTATTTTATTTATATATTATAATTTATTTTTTAACTCACCGATAATTATAAGCAAAATTTTGAGAAGCGAATTCTAAGACAACTGATTGATTTGAGATAAGTTGTGCTTGACGTTTTGGTCGAAGAAAACTAAGGTGCGCAGCTTGAGGACTTTTATCTCCAGCCAGACCATTTTCTATGATAAAGGAAAATTTACTACTTCACATTAAAAACTAAATATCAAATACTAGGAATATTTTTAAACATAAATTTCACAAATTAAATGCAGGAAATAAGAAAGTAAATTTATGTACATTCGCCAGATGGCAGCACACGTTGCAGTAGAAAACTAGCTGATGATGTATATTGAAGAAATTGTTAATAATGTTACAAACTTAAAAAGTATTTACAGTGTTTGAACTAATTAATTGGATATATTTAATATATTAATTAATTGGATATATTTAATATGAATAAACAACACATAAATAAAGCTGCTATAAAATTAATTATGTTTAAAAAATTGTTTAGCTCAAAGAAATTGTTATGCAGTGAGATTTCAGTTATCAGTTTATTTTATTTAACAGAACGCACATTTCAAAATATTTTTCAGAAAGTAAACGATATTAGGTTTAAAAGAGAAAGAAATTCTGAAAATTATGATTAAAAGAATAGAATAAAAAATTAGCAAAGCTAAATATTTTTTAATAGTAAAATCAATTTTTGTGCATTAAAGAATAGCTTGCTGATATCCAATAAAAATGATCAAAATTAGACATTTTCCAGGGACAAAAATTATTTTAACTGTTTGTATTCCTAATTTTCTTATGAAATTATGAACAATTATGGCAAGGGCATCACTCTTTATTGTTAATTAAATAATTGCATATGATTTTAAACTCAAGGGGAATAAGTAAGTATAAAATAAAGTATTTTCAGTTGAAAACCGATTTAGAAATAACAGATCAAGTATTCACTTTCAGTTTTTAGCTATGTCAAATATGAGACGTGCGTCTGTGTCTGTAAAAATTATAGTAAAAGTTCTTAGTAAAAGTTAAACAAAATTTGTAGTTTCGGTGCTTTCATTTTGAAATTAAATTCTTAGTTGTAAGCCTGGTTCAAAAATGTTCAAAAATTAAAGAAATGAAAATTTAATTTAAGAAAATACAGATTCAAGACAAACATCAGGAGAATACCGTTTTATATATTCTTTACATTATCAATAAAATTTCTACGTATAAAGAGAAAAATTAATGTCAATAACGCATGTGGAATAAAATGAAAAAAAAAATTAAAACGCAGGTTACATATGGGAATATGTATAGTGAAAGTTTAGTGAACGTCATAATTGTACTAAGACCACGATAAATCAAAAAAGAAGCTCCATCGAAACAGCAAGATAGCTGCACTTCTTTATGAATAATGTTCCTTTTAATATATGTAATCGCTTTGTCGTGCAATCGGTTATTCCCAAAAGACGAGGTATTTTGCTTACTTATATACCTTTTTTTCTGATACAAGAATGTATGAATTGAAAGTAGATACTTATGGAACTGGTTCACAAATTACCACAAACATTTATATTCTTTTTGCATCATTATTTAATTAATTCATTATTAACAGTAATCATTATTCAAGATTCTATTCTTGATACTTGATAAGTTTCTTCATTTTTGAAAATCCAAAGTAAACGCCTGAAGGAAATTTTGTAAAAAAATTTTGAAAGGTTTGTAGGGTTGTACCTGATCTGGGACTGCTAAGTAGTTCAAAAATCCTAACAGAGAAGTGAATTATCGCTATGTCTGAAATAATGGCAAAGTCTTGAAAAGGTTAAAATAATCCTTTTTTTAATAGAATTTAGCACACAAACGCACTCTCTTGTACTACAATAAAAGCCACAACTCATGGTGATGCAACTAAATAGTACAGCAAAAGTCAAAGACTGCACAAATACTACTAGAAGCTGACTTACTGCTGTGTCAAAATCAAAGTGTCAGCAGCCGCAAATCGCAAAGCTGAATAATGATAACTATCAGAGCTGACAGGAAATTAACAACTGACGTGCACGCTAAGCCAGAAACACGCTCTGTTGTAAAAACCTAAAACCTCAGTTTAAATGTTGGCTACTCTTTGCATTTTGGTGTAGAACATTAAAAGGAGATGTTATAATACACACCAAAATCATAATAACTGGCTGATTTATAATAATAACCTTACAAGTTAAAATAAACTGCTGTCAGAATACTTTTTACAATCGTACAAAACGTTTTATACAGATATAAGTGACTTTTATTCCTGAATGTTGCATTATATAATATTTAATATGCATAAATGTTATTTTACTTTTATTCACAGAAATTCTTTCAGTTTCCATTAGTTCAGCTGCTTGCCTCTTTGCTCGAGAAAGTGAATCTTGCAAAACTCTAGCAGACACTTGAAAACGAGGGAACTCTAGCAATAAGTCAAAATTAGATAGAAACATTAGTACATGTTTTGCCAAAAAGATATACTACTGCATGAAAATTTTATTTTCTGTCAAAATAAATCTAATTTATTGACACAAAAATTTCTATTAAATGCAGAGGGAAAAATTAATTAATCGTCAAAAGAAATAAAATACTCTTACGAGTTTTCCACTTGCTTAAATCCATTACTGGTATGTCTCCTGAACTGCATGTTTGGTATGCGTTTCTGTGTGAAGAGTACAAGCGCAGTTAAAATACGTTCCAGTTTTATAAATTCCATAAATATACATACTACTTACAAAAAATATGTTTTTATACGTGATTCACACTTACAGGAAAGGGTCACTGACGTACATTGCCGATGGCGCCATAAAATCAGCAGAATCGGCATTGTCACACAGTACACGAGCCAGAGTGCTTTTTCTGATTTCGGATAATTGTTCTGAAAAAAATAGTACATAGTAAATTTTGAAATTTAGTATATCTTTAAGAAATCTATAAGAAATTTGAAAGTTTTAACTTTTTCCTTTGGCGAAAGAGAACCTTTTAACTTTAAACTTCTAAAAATAAACAAAAAATACCCACAATAATAAAAAATATACATAGCTATACTAAAATGACGAACCTTCATCCATGACACAATTATTTCCTTCATTTAAAATTCAAAGTTTATAATAGTTATCCTTTAAAGAAAGAAAAATTTCACCATTATTGCTTTAAAGTCAAGCTACATTAAAAATAATCTTTTCAGCCAGCAGATGGCAGCACTGCATAGGACAATGTTACCGTTACAGGGACCATTTTTCTTATTATTATAATGCTGCCATCTATTGACCATTTTTAAGTTTATTTTCCATACCGCTGAAGAAATTTACAATATTCAGTATGCTTCTGACATATCGCACAATTATTTACCTTTTGTAAATGATGATGGAGGTATGTCGTTCTCATACCAGAAACGGTCACCACGTCTTAAATAATGAAATTGCCTTCCAATTAAGCATGCAAAAGTTGGGCCAGTTACTGCTCCGTTTAAAGGAGTCTCAGCTAAGCCGCCAGTGAAAAGGTCAATATCATGAACATTACTGAAAAAAAAATACGAACAAATTACTGTGATGTTGGGGTTTAACATCTGAACAACCTATCTATAAGAAAATACAGAGGGGGCAGTCATTGCAAATCAGCTTTTATACGAACTTGTATATCCGTTTCAGCTTTTCTATGGTGTCGCTCGCCATGACTGCTTTTAAATCATTGAAATTGTTGATAATAGGATCAGCTCGACAAAATTTTCTCCACTGCGTGTATCCAGGAATTCCGTGGTCTCTGCCCTGTTGCAAAATAAATGCGGCCAAATCTGTTGCAGAGCCTTAAATAAAAGAAGCAAACAAACAAAAAATAAAATTAATTTAAAATAAAAACTCTACAGACAAGCTCATTTTTCAATCTTACATTGCTTTTCATGAAAGAATAGTATTATATGCCATAAATAATTTGCGTGGCAATCAATTAATGAGACTTTTTGTCTAAATCCATATAAAGCTGACGGATCAGAATTGCATTGCATTTTGGAAACATTTATTACTTGTCTGATCAGATCATTTTGATACTCATTATTAAGTAGTTAATTTTTTTACGCAACGTGTTGTATCTAGTCCAAAACTATTGTTCTAAATGGGTTTTCCTAAGCGTCAACACACCTTCACATCGGGCGTACACCAATACCTATAGTAGGGTGTTTCATTTTTCCAAAGATGTGATTTTCATGTGAGTTTGCTTATGCTCCAAGTTACAGCGACGTAAAAGATATATATATATATACCAAATTTCAGGAAGATCGAATAATATATAATGGTTGCACACATTGTTCACTTTTAGCTCAAACTAGTGAAATTTATAATATTGAAGTTCTTTGTACTAATGGGCTTCTCATGTATTTCTTTCACATTTTGCAGATAATTGAACTTTAAAATGGGAAGCAAAAGAGGAATGTGGCGGCTACAAAAGGTGTCTGGACAGCGCGAGTTATCTAGGGGTTACCTTTAATAGGTCATTCACCTGGTTCACTTACATAGCCAAAGTGTGTGGAAAAGCATATGGAATAATGTTCAAACTTTTCCCACCGCTTAAAAATAATCAGCAGTCTATCAATTTGAAGAGAAGAATCTATATCACATCTATTAGGCTTATTATTACGCATGCGTGTCCCGCCTGTACTACTGCCAGCGAGAAAGACTACAAAAAACTTCAGGTGTTACAAAAATAAAGCTCTTACAACTATCACAGGTGCCCCGTATTTTATAAGAAACAGAAGCTTGCACTCGTATTTAAAAATGGATTCAATCAAAGATTTCATCACGAGGGTTAATGGGAAATTTTATGAGCGAAGTTTAAGAAATAACCCAGCAAATTTGGCAAAAATCTTGGAGTACGACAATCTAGAGGAAGAGGGATTTTTTAGGCCCTACGCTGCTAATTTGCTGCGTGTTGCACTGAACAATCAGGATGACTAATGAGAAAGCAGAATTCCATAGTTCTTTTACTACTTAGTTTGCTATTGTGTGTTTGCAAATGTATGAATTCTGGGAAAACACGAACATCGATACCGACCAGTCTCCAGACCCTACTCGGTCTTCAATTTTTAAAAGAATAGCGCTTCAATCTGTTCTCTCCCCGTCAGGTACTTATCTCTTTTTGGAGAATATTCTTTACGGTTGTATTACAAGTCAGGCCCTAATGGGACTCTTTCAATAACTGAGTAGGGATCACTATCACCTGTTGCAGGCCAGAATATCGACCAAGCATCAACAAAAGGTGACTAATGTTGAGCTTTTAGGAGCTCGGATACCTTCAAAGGAACAAGTGCTTTTTAGTTTTCGTTTACCATTACAAAGAAAAGAAAGAAACACTTCCAGATGCTGCTAAATCTACCAGTACTTAACTACAGGAAATACGGAGGAAAGCAAATATCCATTTTAAGACGAAGGAAATACCTGTGCTGGTATGCAGAAGCTGTACAAAGAGCACCTAAATCAGGGTAAAAAGAAATCGAGAAATATGGATAAAGCACATGTGAATCGGCAAATTTGGAAAGGTAATCTAGTCGAGTTATTTTCCCGGCAAAATGTCATGGACATGACTAGCGTATCACAAGAAAGTAAAGAATTTCTTAGGTCACAAAGGAAGATCGTATGAATTTCTCAATGTGTAGAGTAAACAAAGTTTTCACCTCGAAAATGAGAACTAAGTGTACAAAAGAAGACATAAATGATTCATATAAGAATAGACACTACAAAGCTGTCATTGAAATCAGTAAGACACTTATACTGGAAGATTCATGTTCATCATCCTCAGCACCTAGTAATGATTGGTTGGTTGGTTGGTTGGTTGGTATTTTAAATGGCACAAAACCTCGAGGGTTATTATGCACCAGACAAATGGTGAGTAAAATTCAAGATGTATAAACAAGTATCAAGTGAATTGATGAAATGAACGTGAAATACTGATGAAAGCATACCTAGTAGTGAAGAGGCCGAGATTTCGCCTCCAACAACAAAAAAAATTATGTTTAAGTCCTAGATTGAAAACCTCTTGCTCAGACACTCATCGAAAACAACTCTCTATCAAACAAGCAATTACTTCATTTACAGCAACTGCAAAGAGCCTTGACCACGATGTTTAAAAAATTTCCATATCTCCAGGTATCATTCACAGAGATCGAGCGATCAATAGAAATAAAATGGCAAAGAACTTCGAAAAGTCACTCTTTGAAAATTCACCTTATTTGGCCTTGCAATAGGATAGTGAACTGTTGCCTTCAAGTTGTTTATGGGAGTGTCAAAACTTTAGAACATAGAACTGCAGTTCCAGTGATTGGCAAGGATTTTGAGCATTTGCTTAGCATAACTATTACCCTGAAAAGCAGACGTGAGTAGATGGCTGAAACAGTTCTTTGGGAAGAATCGATTTCGGCTACATGACAAAATCATTGGTATGTCTTTTGATACTACAGCATCTAATACAGGAATGATCCAAGCGGTATGTACCAGAACTGAAAGGAAATTCAGATGAACATTGCTGTGGTTGGCTTGCCGTCATCACACCTCTGAACTAATATTGAAAGGAGTGTTGTGGCATGCCATCAAGTGGTCCTGGCATCCAGGTTTTTCGGAAGTTTCAAAGTCTTTGGTTTTCACTTGATAAGAAAACATCGTAACAAAATTCTCACCTCTGATAACCATACGTTTAATTAAAGAACTTCCTGTTTGCCGAGAGACTAATTTTTAGTTAGAACTATCTGCGGAAATGAGTTACAGAAATCCTCTGGTGTGGTTTCCGAACAAACAGTATGTCATAAAAGACCTCCCCTAAAGAATTTCCTAAAGACGTTTAACTAAAAGGGAAAGAAATGGGCTTTTGTGTGAGATTCTATGCAGAGAGAGACTTGAGTGAAGTCGCACCAGCGACGAAAAGCCGCATTAAGAGGCCGGTTTTTTATTATGTCTGTAATTTCTTTTAGTTTTCTTTAATCCTGAAATCTTGTTAAGTTTAAAAATGAATATTTAAAAGACATCTCGTCTTTCCTTCATCCATAACGGGTGCTCAAACGTTACAACATATACGACAATACTAAAGTCCCGTTTAAAGCTTTCTGGAAGAACAACGATTAGAAATAGTTAACGGCATTCAAAATGTCCTAAAAGACGGAGGGCATCCAATAGAAGACCACAAAGAGCTATTACAACTCTCACTCCCGTAGCTAGTATGTTGGTCTGAAAACGACTTCAGTTTCAGGATTCCAGGTGCTCTGCATCAAGCAAGGTGGATGGCAAAGACAATATATACACTTAAAATTGTCCTCTTCACTAAACAGTTGAATATTCCTCAACGAGAATTGAAAGACATGAAACAGGTTGCACATTTTATCAGCCTCATATATGTTGGCTTTTGTCTTGAGGCAACTGTAAGTCGAAGGGCTCTAAGAATGATTTGGATATGCTACAGCTTCTGATCACTGACCCAGATGCAGAGATATGATAACAAATTTAGAAACTAAACCTGCAAAGAAAAAGGAAATGAAACGAAAAAGGGAAGGAATGAATTTTCGAAGGAAAAGATCTGAATATTTTATTACTAATATGAAAAAGACGTTTTTTGAATTGTCTGGGATCCATTGATGTGATAGAATACTGCAGTGATTATCTAAGAAGCCACGTGAACGCTGTTAAGGTGGTCAACGATACCGCAGAAAGATAAATTACTCTGATAAAGTTTAAGTAATTGGTCACGGACAAACAAAAGTTTTCGCCAAGCGAAAAAAAGAAGAGATCGAATCGTTCGGAGCTGATTAATATAGCGCCTGTTTTGCTCATCAATCTACCTATTAACCTTAGTGTCTAGTTTCAACATCATTTTAAGTTTGTGATTTCTGGTTTTCCCAATAAAAGTAAATAATTGAAAATGGTGTTTTATGCCTAATTTTACAAACTATCCAATCTTCTGAAATTTGGCATACATATCTTTTATATCACTGAGACTCAGGGAATAAGCAAAAGTCTGCAATAATGTTCACATTTTGTTTTTCCCTTGCAAAATGAAACACCTGAACGAACAGCAACAAGCGTACAGCAGTTTTTGGAGGCGTACAGCAATTTACTGGATCGAAAATAAGTGTACGTACGCAACTACCTTGGCTATTCTCCAGATACATAAATTTAGGATTATTTTCTCTTCCCTGAAACCAAACTTTATCACAAATAAAAGTTTTTCTGACGCTAAAGAGATCGGAAGAATCTGTTTAATTTGCAAATACTTCTATTTTGCATGGTGTTAAGTTATATGTCTAGAATGAAACGTAAATACTTAATAAAACGTAGTACTTAAATAAAGTTTGTAGCCTTAAGTACTTTTCTCAAATATAAATAAATAAATAATAGAATATAAGAACTCCCTTAGTAAACGTCATCTATAAAAGCAATTCCAAGGCAAAAAGCAATTTACTGAATTTTATAAGGACATAATTTTTTTTAAAGACTAGTTTGTATTTTGAAAATTTATTTCTTTCTCAAAGGTATGAAATATTATTGAAATTATATGAAATGAAATGAAATATTATTAAAATAAACAAAAGCGTTTTTTAACTACCTCATAAACTATTTCAGCATAATACCTATTAAAGTGCCTATGTACTTTTTAATCTTGAATGACTATTGTCTAATCTTCTAAAATTCTGTTAACAACAAGGAAAGTTTTCAGGCATGTTATTTCCATACGCAGTTTGTTTGGATATCGCTAAATAAGTCTCCAACAACACTGTATTCACATGTATCTGACAGGCCGGGTATGTTTCTCCCTGTACACGGACTGGAGCAGGCATATCAGACCTCAGAAGATTATTTACTTGTTCGGATATACGTCTCCTGTTGTAGACGCGTCTTTAGAGAGGTGATCGCCATAAAAGAATTCCCTGTATTGCTAGCTCATTTTCTAAATTTCAGATTCCGATTTATCTTTCATTTATTCGAAATAGTAAATTCTGATAGCACTTACCTGATTTTCCTTAATTTTATGAATTACAGTTTGACATAAAATGCAACCACAACGTCACAAATTTTGAATTTTCTTACATAAAACTAAACCACTTTTTCTAGTTTAAATTGTATTTTCAGATTTTTCACAAGAGTCTCTAATTTTTTGGATAACTCAGATGTTTTTCCTATTAGAACTTTTTCAGGTGCAGAAAAATGTTTGCAACTGAAGTTTGGAAACATTTGCAGTTTGGAAAATGAAACAAGTAATAATCATGCCAAATCAAAGTGAGGAAATGCAAAAAGGAATAAAATCAGGACAAAATATTCAGATTTTAGTTTATGGAATTTGATCAACATTAAGTTAATTAATACTGATTATTAATTGTTTACTCACTTGCACTTGAATCTGTGGGTATATTATTCGTCATTTCTTTAGTAATGAATTCATCCCTGTTTTGAGCTTTCTGACTTACTAAGCCAAGTAAGTATTCATTAAACTTATTTGGATCATACATATCGGAAGGTTGAAAGAATGTATCACTCATAGGCTTTGATCCCAGTTTCTTGTAGTCTTTCGAGTACAGTTCGAAGTGGGATGGCATCATTGAAAATAAGAAAGAAAATACAGCAGAAGCGACGGCATTGGATATCCCAGCATTGATATTAATGTCGTAACCTGTATAGTGTCCACTGTCTTGAGGTTGCAAATCATACTTATCAACAATGTCTTGACCCAAAATTGCTGGTAGCAACTCCTTGTATGTTATATGTTGCAACTGTAAGCAAAAAATACATAAATTAAAAAATAAATTAATAAAATACAGAATATTAAAATTTAGTAACATTTGTAACATTTACACATTAGTAACATTAACACCTAGAAATTTAGTAACATTAACACCTAGAAATCTCTGAAAATTTATTTGCTGGAATTTAATCGCATTTCAAGTAACAGTTTTTTTTTTTTTTTCAGGGGAGGTATTAAAGTTACGTCGAGACAGCCAAACGCGCCAGTTCTTAAGCCTTTTTAAAAGTAATTAAACAGAAAGATACAGTTAAAAACTAATAAAATTATTTGAAATCACAGTGCCACAATAAGCCACGGAGCAGCAACTAGCACAGAAGTAGTTGCGCACATTCTGGACAATATCTTTAGACCTGATAACGCAGACACAGATAATCCCGCACAAAGAAATATCAGAGCCAGCGTTGAGCAATATTACAATACCAAGAAAACAGATTTTGAACCACTGCCTAACGCCAAAGAAATAAGCGACATTGTTAAAGCGTTAAACACCAATAAAGCACCAGGTCCTGATGGGATAGATAATGGCATTCTGCAAGCCATTAACAGTATGCATCCGGAGTTACTGCATGCCTACATCACTGCGTGTTGGCGCAACAGATATTTCCCAGCCGGCACGAAACTTGGTGAGGTGGTGCTCTTCCTCAAAGCGAAAAAAGACCCTAATGTACCAACGTCTTACCGGCCTATTTGCCTTCTTCCTGCCTTGGGTAAAGTACTAGAAAGAGTCGTCCTTCAAAGACTTAAACACTATATCCTGTCTGGACAAAGCATAAATGACAAACAATACGGCTTCATTCCTGGCAGATCGGTGGATCACGCGCTGCGCTGCAGCACCTACGAAAATTAATAGCAAATAAACAGAATAAATAACCAACATAGTCTCATTATCTCTGTGGATATACAGGGCGCTTTCGACTCGTTGTGGTGGCCCGATGTACTGAAGAGATTACAGGACATGGGTAGCCCTAAGATTCTCTTTGACCTTATTTACAGCTACCTAAGTGATCGCCGCTTACAAGCCACTACGGACGCAGGAGTGCACTCACGTTCCATCAATAGAGGCTGTCCTCAAGGATCCTGTCTGGGTCCACTGCTCTGGAATCTTGTAGCGGACACAGCGCTGACTCTCTTTAACACAGATCCTCACACGGAAATACTGGCTTATGCCGATGACTTTTTGCTGGTAACAAAGGGCACAGCCGCAACGCATATGAGACTAGGGCACAACAAGCAATGGACAAGATGGCCAAATGGGCCAATGACCATAAGTTAACTATTGCCAACTCAAAAACCCAAGGTATGCTTATCTGTCCAGGTAGCGCCATCGAAGAACCCCGTGCATCAACCTTCATGGGAAAAATATTTAAAATAGTCAGAAACTTGAGGTACCTTGGAGTTATAATTGACGACACATTGACTTGGATGCCACATTTAAAAGAGGTCAAGGCACGACTTCACAGGATATTTCATTCCATGCTCAGAACAGCAGCACCAACATGGGGAGTTTCCAACAAATGGGGAGTTTCTTCGAGGATGCCTAAGACGTGGTACTCTGTAGTTGCTGAACGTATTGCACTATATGGAGCCTCCATGTGGGGCATAACGATCACTACTAAAATGGAGAATCTGCTACGCTCAGCACAAAGACCATTCCTCCTGAGCATTACCGAGGATATAAAACCTCGCCCACTAATGCTCTAAACGTGATTTCAGGACTACCGCCTCTGCATCTCTTAGCTCAGCGCGAGAGTGCAATAGTGCGAGTGCTCCGACTCAAAGAGACAATAAGTTTATGGGATAGGACTTATGTTTATACTGACTATGAGCAAAGCATTCCCGAGGCACCTTGCCACCCGACCGAATTCAATATCTCGATTAACTGCAGGTCACCAACGTGGTTCAACGCCGCTGCAATCTACACCGATGGTTCCAAAGGAGAATGTGGCACCGGTAGCGGATACTGTGTTCTACTTGGGAACCAGATCTTAAAGACCTGGGAAAGAAAGCTTAAGCACCACAACTCAGTTTTTCAGGCTGAACTGATTGCATTACAAGCTGCACTTGTCTACGCACTGGAAAATAACTATTCCAGTATATATTCAGACTCAGCCTCTAGCCTCCAGGCAATCCAAGGCAAATGTAGTAAAAATCCACTCGTCTGGGCCATACAAAAACTCCTACTAAGAACACCTAAATACTATAGGCCTGAACTCCAGTGGGTACCTGCCCACACTGGAATACTGGGTAATGAAATTGCAGATGCAATAGCCAAAAGAGCAGCAACTGACCCCCACGTTCGCACACTTGACGTGCCTCTCCCGGGTTCGTTCTTAAAAGCTGAGCTCGAGAGAGAATTACTTAAACGTTGGCAACATCTGTGGGAGACAGAAACCACCGGCAGAAGAGTTTACAGATTTTTTCCAAAAGTCTGCCGGCTTCTAAAATCTGGCTCGTCTCACTTCACTCAGTATCTAACAGGACATGGTCCCTTCATGACTTACCTGCATCGCTTCAGACGACGCGAAAACGAGCATTGCTCATGCGGGATGGTAGGAGATCCGGACCACTATCTGTTCGCTTGCAGAGAGACCGCTAAATATCATCTTAGGCAACCAGTAGCAAACCACATCTATGCATGGGCCGAAGCTACTTCAAAAAATCGCAATGCATTGAAACGCATATGCGATTGCATAAACACTGCACGCATAATCTCAGACAGGCTGGAGTAATTCTCAGCCACCATCCTCGTCACCAGCAAAGCCCCTGTATGCTCTGTACCTGTAGCGAACTAATTTTATCTTAAGTTAGCTTATTCGGCTTTTCTTATTCCCTGTATATATTTATCTTCTTGAACTGTAAACCTTGAATTATGAACCTTGAACTATGTATTTTGCCTTATTTTATGTATTGTTTCCACTGTTTTGCCTTTTTTTATTTTATGCATTGTTTTACTTTCTAGTTTTTTACTTCTTATTACTTTTAGTATTTGTAACCACCTATCCATTACTCTGTAAATATGTAACTGGAATTGTTCTTCACGCCCGCAATGCACCCTTCTTCCATCATGCACTATCGTCTTCGTCCAGCATTTGTTTGCACTGCCCCCAGCAGTCGTCTTGAGCACAATATGTATTTATAAGTGTGTCTTTTGTTCAAGTTATTTCCGTCAGCGGGGCTACCTGGCCGATATGCTAACTACCCAGTGGACCGGCTGCCTCGCTGTCGGTGGAAAGAAAGAAAGTTTAAAATTCTAGTAAGAAATTCTTGCAAATATTAAGTGCAAATAACTACTGGGTATTGGCGAAATCAAATAACAAGACTCAGCGTTGTATTTGTAAATTTTGTCGGACTACTTTCGATGGTTCTGTAATTAAACAATCGAAAGTAGTCCTGTAATTTTCCTAAGTTTTTGTAGTGCTACAACGTTTTGCACTTTAGCAGCTGAAGCAGATGGTCCTGTAGTTAAACCATCGAAAGTAGTCCTGCAAAATTTACAAATATAACTCTGAATTTTGTTGTTTGACTTCTCCAATAATCATTATTTGGCGTGTTATTTTAACCTAAACTACTGGGTTTTACTCTAAAATTCAAAATGTTTGATTCTACACTGCATTTCAAAAGCTAAGAAAAGAAATTTTTTACGTTGCAGTATTGCACAAATAAATTATCTGAAATTTACAGAAGACGTTAATGAAAAAAGTATTATGTAACGAAAAAGTAAGACTATTTGCTCAAAACCTTCTTTAGATATATTTAAACATAAGGAACGGTAACAAGATTTCATGTACGCAAACGGTTTAATTTCAAAAAAAAAAAAAAAAAATTATTTTTATTTTTATTTATTTATTTTTTCCCCCTCAAATTTTTCTCTTAGATATTGTAAACGATACCCCAAAGAAATCGTTTACTGGATTCTCTGAGACTGCGAGAAACTGGCTGGATAAAAATAGTTTTGTCAGGGGCTGAAGTGGAAAAAAGACTAAATGTTACTCTCGTAAACATGTTTTATATTTTTTTCAAGGCAACAAGATGTGTAAACCTCAGCAACATGCAATACATCCCTGTATGATTTGTTATTGTGTCAATTTTCACATTTCCCTTTTGTCTGCTTTAAAATTTAAGCCTTATAAACTACTTCTTCCTAAATGCAATACCTTAAATTTTGGCGGACAGAGAACATTCAGTTTTTATTTTGGGTAACATATGTCAGATTTATACGCTACTGAGTGGTACAGGATGACAACACGAACATTTAAATTCATTTACACATGCATAATGGCATTTTACTCATAATTTTTCATTAAAGTCAGCTTTCATAAATTCGCTATTATGTATAACTACACGAAGACGAATTTAAAAAAAAGCAATACTTTAATAAAAAATAAAGTGCTTTCTCCGATGCAATTTATCGAACACTCATCGTTAATATCTTGCATTTTTATCACTTATTTAAATTCTCATTCTGAAAACAGGTGCGCTTAGGGAAAAGCTGTCGTCACGGGCTGAAATAAATTTCGTCATAAAATAAATAATTCAACTTACACAGCTATATCATTCCACTCAACCCTCAAATAGCACATTTACGAAGTTTAGAGAATGAAAATTTTAAACTAACTACCGTGATATACTAGGCATGAGTGACAGGCTTAGTATCTTTCCATTGGTTTTATGCGAAAAAAATCATTTTTAAGTCATATATTGTTCTATACTATTATAAAATTTAGTGCATCATCTTCTGTTATGATAAAAACAAAAATATATGCATGCATATAAATTTTAAAAAAATATATAAAACTAGCTAAAGTTACAAACAAATTTAGTTTACATGATATAAAATATGTAGTACCTTGAATGCTATATTTACAAGCATTTTGTATCCTAAAGTAAAATTAAGACCGTCGTGCATTTTTACGTGTAATATCTCCCATATGACGTAAATATGAGGCTACATGGCAAATACAATATTCAAAATGTTAAATAAAATAATCAGTATCGATTTATGCAATAAGAGAATGTACGTTATCGATTAAAAAAATAACTTTTTCCATATCAATAGCAATAATGTTGGCAGTCAGATTGAAAATTCCATTTTCATTGCTGCACTCTAAATGCTAACGGCTATAACAAAGTGCTTACGCAATGATAATTTGGCTCAAAAAAGTTATTTTAAAAGCCGTCGAATCTTCCGATACCTTACAATTTCGTGTCTTAGGAATATTGCCAAAACAGTAAACAATTCTTCATTTTGTTTCAACGATTTTTTTTAACGCACGTGAAGCTTCTGATCCCTTAAAATCTTCTCATACTAGTATCTAGGAATTTAAGTAAATTGATAAATGGAAAATAAAAAGGGTGTTTACACATTTTTTAGAATGATTTCGGGGCCGTTTAATTAAAGTTTAAAATGTAAAGAGTACTTTTTAAATGTTCGATCTAATAGCCGTTTTTTTTAACTATAAATTTGCATCGTGATTTCCTCTAAGGGGATTGATTTCCATACCTCTTCCACTGCTTTCCAGAATCCACCAAATGCGATGGGTTTGCGCTTAGAAAGATCTCTTTTCAAGAGACCATAGGTGAGTCGTCAAGAGACTTCGCAGGATTATGTTGAAAATATATATCTGCAATACATGTATCAGTCATTTCTTTAAGGAAAGCATTGGTACTTTTCAATGTATGACCTGCTGCTTTGTCTTGTTGAAGTTTCACTCTTTGAAAGTTATTGGGCTAAAGAAATGGAATTTCTTCTATACATATCGGACGTAAAACTTTGATAATATATTGAATTGGTTCTAACGTTTTTTTCCCACTTTTCTTATTTTTAATTTCTCATGACAAGAGAATTCTGCGATAATCATAAACTCCTCACTGAAACTTTCTTTCCATTGAAGGTACCAAGTTTATACACTTTTTTCTTTCCGTTTTTGGTAACAAATAAACCATTTTTTGTTGCAACCATTTAGACAAACCATGCTTCATCGAAAGATACGTTGCATTTCCATTTATCTCCTGCTAATTTGATTTCATACTGGGTTCTTCAAATTGTTCTGCATTGAGCCACAATTTTCGGCGAAAGCTGATAAATGGTCTGTGTTTAGCTCGTTTAAGTTGTTAATCTTGGCTTATTATTTTATTTGCTGTTGCTATAGTTGCATTTAAAAACTCTGTAGTTAATTTCTACGTCCGCGGATTTTCTCTTGTTACCAACAATTTAACTTTAGACATATTAGGAACAGTCTTCTTCCCATGTAGAAGCAATGATTGACGGCTTTTTCCCCTTTCTGATTAATTACATTGCTTATTTTGCACTTAGAAATTTTAATACCATACATTTTACAACGCTTTTGAACCATGGAATAAGAATATTTCTCTTCGGAAAGCGCGAAAATATATTCTTCAAGCCACAGCTTGTTTCGTGTGACATTTTGAAAGAAGAAATATTTTAAAAGTAGTAGAGGATATTTCTTATTTCAAACAACACGCTATTGCCAGAAACTCTTATTCCAAAATATTTGCTCTTTTTAAATTCTTTATCGAAATTGTTCTAAAAATGTGTAAATACCTTCTACATAAAAACAAAATTCGGTATAAATACCAAAGCTAACGCTAAAAGAGTGATCGTTCATTTTCTAATGTCCCATCCAAAATGATTAAAATAGTTTCCTCAGAATTTCGTATGTAATGATATCGGGCATTCTTTCTGATAAACACTTTTTTATGACATAAGATGTACTGTATCATGTACTCTTTTTTTTTTTTTTTTTTTTTTTTTTTTTTGTGAAAACATTACTTAAAGAGAAGAGAAGTTTTCGTTTTACACATTAATGTAACAATAGTAATCTGTCAAAGAAATAAAGTTCAAAATAACAGATATAGCTTACTTCAGCTCCCACTATTCTTCGAGCTTCCTCGAAAATTTCATGGTCATCCCAATGAGGATTTAGCTCAGCAAGGGCACGAGCGATGCGATTATGTTCTCGAACCCATACGGTATGTAGAACAGTTAATCCAGCATTTTCGTTTGCACGTGCATCTCCTTGATAAAATGAGAGTTCATTTTTATAAATATAAATGAGGGGAAAATAATACATATTGACAAAAAGTAACATAGATATATGAATAAATATTTCTGGGATTAAATACAGAATAAGCTATTAATAATAACTAATCATAACAAATTTCTACACTGTCCAATATTGATTTTTAAAAATAATTCTTCAATTCATTAATTCAGAATATCTAGTTTGTACAATCAAAAACATATTTAACTGATGACTTTTCAACTAATAATTGCTGTAATTTATATTAGCATCTAATCTGTGATTTATAATGTACTTAAACATTAATTCTATAAAACAATTATGGTAGTTAATAATAGATTTTAATGAATAAATATAAATAACATATATATATATAAGAATATATAAATAACATATATCATGAATATAAACAGGACAATAATAAAGAGATTCGTTATAAATTGTTCTAATATTAGTAAAATACGCAAAACGTATCCTAAATTAATTATAAATTGTTAAAATAGCGTAACACTGACTAAAATAAAAGGAAAAAAATAAAACGCTGATATTTGTTTTTGTATAAACAGCAATGTGAAAAGAGTTTAATATGTGCATTAAATAAAAGGAAGTATAAGCATAAGAAACCTACATTGAACCAAAATATAGAAGACGAAACGTTAATACGATAATAAGCCGAAAAATCAAAAGTGATAAAAACTGCACAAAGTTTAAAATTAAGTAAAATTTATCTTATTTTGGCGTAAGTTTCGAGATCGATAAGATACAGATTCCTCTTCTTCAGAAGCAAAAAGATTTTGCAAAACTGGAATGAGCGAAGGCTATATTTACATCAAAGCAATGGCTCAAATAAAGCAAACACGAACAAAGTGCCTGCCATCTGTCGAGGAAAATGGTAATGAAACGTGAAAACAAAGATATCAGAAAGATATTAGGAAGGACTGGATTGGAATTAATGTAAATAATTAAAGAATATGCATTTCAGTGAATGTGAAAAGCTTCACTCCTTTAAACATGATAGACTGGTTCAAATAGCTGAAGAATAATATTTTTCAATAGCAGCTTATAATAATACGAAATTAAAACCAAAATATGAGTGGTAGTACGAAAATGAATAAATATGAATATGTTACATGACTGAAATAAATTAACAAGTATAAAATTTGATAACTTTATTTAGTACTCATTCTTCACCTGCTCTTTCTGCTTTGATTTTATGCTTTTCTTATATTATCTTCTCTTATTACCTTCATTTAATATGATTCAAGTTATCCTCCTTGGACTAATGTGCTACGTTTTTTACACATCCTTCGCTACATACACTGGTGTGCAAAAATTAAGGACGAAGTCGAAAAATTAGCACATCAGCTGAACGAAGAGGCAAAGCGGACAGAAAGACCAATCAGGAGATTAAGTAAGGTGATGTACGGTAGCACGTGCGCAGATATGCAGGTAGACGTAATGGGGGACTGTCTGAGTAGTATAAAGCATGTTGTCGGTGTAAGATCAGTATTTCTGGCAAAGAGATTGCACGCCGTATAGCAGTTAAAATCACACCGAGTTGCTGCCTCAGCGAGAAATGGCGAATAATCAATCTGTTGCACGACATCTGGATGCTTTTACCCGAAGTCGAATCATTGGGAAGTTGGAGGAAGGCCGCAGTGTGACAAGTGTGGCTGCAGAGTTCGGAATTGTTCACAGCAACGTTTCACGACTTTGGAGACAATTTCAAACTACAGGAACAGCTATCCGGGGGCTTAGTAGTGGTCGTCCACGAGGAACCACACCCGCAGATGACCGGTATATTGCCTTACAGGCCAGAAGAAACAGGCGGCAGACAGCGGGAGAAATCGCTAGACACACGACACAGGCGACTGGACGACCGATATCGCGTTTTACCGTCGCCAGAAGACTGCACGGTGGTGGTCTGTTTGCACGACGCCGTGTATGGTGTGTATCTCTAACGCCTGCCCATCGGAGAAGGCGTTCTCTGTGGTGCTTTGAACACCGGAATTGGAGAGACAATGAATGGGGACGAGTACTCTTTACAGATGAGAGCAGATTCAGTCTGAGTAGCGATTCTCATCGCATACTCATCTGGAGAGAGCGGGGAAGCCGCAATCATCCCTCGAACATCATTGAAAGGGACAGGTATGGAGGTGGCGGTGTTCTCGTTTGGGGAGGCATCATGCTTGGTAGTCGTACAGACCTTACAGACCTTCACATCTTCGACGCAGGTTCAGTCAACGGGACCAGTTATTATGACGAGATTCTTCTTCCATATGTGCGTCTTTTTAGAGGCGCTATTGGTGCGCAGTTCCTTTTCATGGACGACGACGCACCATGTCATCGCACAGTAGCTGCCGAACAGCTCTTAGAGAGTGAGGATATTAAACGTATGGATTGGCCGGTACGATCTCCGGTATCCATGTATGGGATTTTCTAGGCAGACGCTCGGAAGCTCGTACCTTACCACCAGTAACGATTCCCGGAGCTTCGATTGGCGCTGCAAGACGAATGAGCAGCAATGCCTCAACAACTCATTGACACCCTCATTCTCAGCATGGGCAGACGCTGTGAAACCTGCCTAGCAGTCAGGGGAGATCATATCCCCCATTTAAAGACCGGATGTTTCTTGCTGGACACCCATCACAGGGATGTTTCGGCCTTCAGTCGCATTGCGCTCCATGCTACTTTTCCAATAAAGCTTCTTTTATCCCTCTGATTTCTCTTTTAGTAAGTGTGCTTACATACTCATGTCCTTACGTATTGGGGATCTTACGGTATTAAATGTGTTGATTTGGAAAGCTTTTGTACAAAGTTATATTAAAAAAACCGTCTCGTCCTTAATTTTTGCACACCAGTGTATATTTGCTTTAAAATTTTATAATTGCAATCTGCAGCGTTTAACTTTTTATTTTCATTATTTTTCACAGCTGATTAATAGCTTTTGTTATCTTACTTTATTACATTTTATTTCATAGTATTTAATCTAATCTTGGGCACTTGCCTATTCGACACTGGCCACTGCTAAGGCTCGAAATGGTGGCTATTTTATTGTGGAGGCATCTAATAAGCAGCCTTCGTTGCCTCCTAAGAAGGAATAGACAGTTATAATTATGTCTTCTTCGGGATTCTATTCCGGCCCCTTCGGTACCGCAGGTCGGTTGCCCCAACCGCTGTACCGTCCGGGTGGCTTATTTCATGTTACTGATGTGTTTTGAAAAGTTTCGTTCACTGTTTGCTTAATTAGCAATTTTTAACAATCTGAGATGATTTTGTTTTGTTGAGATGATTTTTTGTTCGTTCTACACTGAAGAAATCGTAAATAAGTATGATTGTTGATTTCATTTAATGCACATGCGTCTAGAAACATTTTATAACACATATATACACATAACACAGACAGCCACACAAAAGCTCTCTTGCCGTTATCATAAAAGTGAACGGTGGTGATATACACGACCTGGCAAGAATTGAAGTAAATTATAAAAAGGAGGGAATACTTCTCTTTCAAATGAATGACTTGTGAACAAACTGTTAACATTGAAAATTAAAGTAAGAAAATAACGTTTACAGATAAATATGCCGTAATAATAAAAAGGAAAAATAAATCTATGTAAATATAAATACTCAACTAATCACATAAAACTAAAAATATAAACTTCAGATTTAAAAATGCATTCTGTAGACACAACTGTGAATTATACTTATAAAAACGGACTAAAAGCTTCTCCGAAATCTTTAAAACATTCCTGTACTGACTTTTAATTACAATCACTAAACATTGGTTTCTAGTGATATTTATGCCGCCAAAATTTGTCACCTCACATCAAAGAGTTACTAACCTGCAAGGAAGCATCTCGACTGCCCAGTACTTTTGCAGTACGATTGCTCATTGTCTGGTGGTAGTAACTCGCGGCCTTCAGACGTCCTGTACGTCTTCAATTCTCCGCCTTTAAACGTTCTCAAAGAATCGGCTTCTTCGACGGATGATCCATATATAACCGACCCATCCAAAAAGGAAGTTACTTGATTAATTTGCTCTCTGGGACCCAAAGTACACCCGATTCGCGGTGCTGTGCTTGATCTGGTGTATTCCATGCAATTCTGGCTTCGACGGCCGAAAACAGGGTCAGAAGGATGTATACGGATAGGATAACATTCCGGATGAAACTGTACTTTTTCAACACCACAGCATTTAATACGACTACCTTCATATCCTAAAAAAACATTCAACAATGGATTATATTATAGGTTAACGTAAAAAATACAAAACATAAATTCGGTAAATTATTGAATCAAATACACAGCTTAAAACGATATTACCCCACCCTGAACAGAAGATGATAGATGATGTGATAGCTAGATGAGTCTAGTCATTGAAATACACATAAGGGTTTATCGTTATTTTGATACTTAACAGCAAAGTGGATAGCTATATCTTTTTTTAAAATACAAAAACAAATTTGAACATTATATGCTTTGCGATGCACGAAATTATTTTTACATGCCAATGAAAATTAAATAGGCAAAGATTATTTATTTCTAAATCTCACCAAAGCATCTTTAAGTAATTTTAAGAATGAACACTTAACATTAGAGTAACAGAGTATTTCGTCTAAATATGCTTTCGACAACTGCCTTAAGATCTAGTGCATCAAATATTAATACGCATTATACTAAACATTGCAAAAGTATAAAATTTTGCGATTAGTATACGCATTATACTAGTTGCAAAAGTTAGACGTAATTAAGAGTAAATGCCATTTTTATAAATCAGAAAAAAGAAAGTTAAAACGGAAATTGGATGTAGAAATATTTTGTCAGTTGAATACTTAAATAGGATCAAAACATCAGTCACCTGTATCAGTAGTAGAAGAGCTATAATAAATGATACTAGAAGGTATTTCTCCCACCTTCTTAGCATGCCTTCGTGGTGTAATGGTCAGCACACTCTGTGCGTATTCGAGAGGTTCGAGTTTCGGCCAGGGCATTCACATTTTTCATGTCTCCTGCTTCCAAATAACCTAATGTCTTTACAGTGGCACCCGAACTATAAAAAATGTGGTGGATGACTATTCTCCGCCATCAGAATAGGATTGGGGCCTCTAATACCCAGTAGCCCTTTAAAAGGGGAGATATATAAGGTATTTCTCCCGCCTTCTAAGCAAGCCTTCGTGGTGTAACGGTCAGCACACTCGGCGCGTAATAGAGAGGTCCAAGGTTCGGGTCCCGGCAAAGGAATTGCTCATTTTTTATGACTCCTGCTTCCAAAATGACATAATTTCTCTACTATATTATCCTCGTGCTTACATGTGGCTAACTTACCGGAATCGTAGAATTTAGGCAGATAGAGAGACTTTAATCAAGAAGGAGAGGGAGAAAAAAGAGGTAATAAGATTCAAGTGACGTCAGATAATTATTTTATTTTTTTAAATAAATGCTATAGCTATTTTGTTATAACTATCCATAGCAGTGAAATAGAGATCAAGAAAAAGAATGCAGACAATTTCATAGACAATATTTGCATGCTACATTTCTCTAAAGTATGCTCTCTGGAAGACAGGCCAGATTTGTGAGAATCAAGAGAAATAGGGAAATAACGAAAATCGATGACTGAGCGTTTTCAGCACGAATTATTCAGGGTTCAATTTAGTAAGTGGCAACCACATGCGTTACCTCATCTCATTACTTCATCACAAGCATGAACGAAATTCATTATTATAGAGATGGTAGTTTGCATACAAAATCTGCACAGCCATAAATATTCTGGAAATATCATAAAGTTACATGCCTGGAAGGTCCTTCGTAGCTTCTCTGATGAAAGTCTGGAATAGAATGGAAACAGTTTAACAAATCTTTGAATTCCATGTAAGATTTTTTTTTAAATTTCTAATGGCAGATTAAAAAGAGGATTGTAGACCGAACAAGCAAAGATGAAAAAGAACGGCAAAACTGAAAGGAGTCCACAGTACAATATACAAATCTGTTTTGTGTCTCGCCTCCCAATATCTCTTCCAGAGTGATCCAGCATTAAGTGCAGGACAACGACTCAGATGTGAGGCATCCATTTGCTAATAAAAGTTGCACAATTTACAAATTGGAGTTGGGATAATGTTTATTCAATGAAGATGTTTCAAAAGACAATCATGGGCAGTAACAAGACGAAATACAGCAACAGATTTCTTTTTGGACCATAAAAGAGTGTCAGAAATTCTGTTAATCCATGTTTTGGAAACAAATTTAATTTAGCATAACTTGCAAGCAAATTTAAATCTCATGTGAGATTTTTTCAAAAGATGGCTCACCCATTGCTAATGGACGATAATGCATGTCATCTATTAAAGTTAAATGAAATAGAAAGTTTTTTCACTCGGCCGTTTCTGCAGATTTCTACTAAGGTATAGATATCGGCGGTGTGTAAAGACTAACATATTTCTCTGACTCTAAATATCAGATGATGATGTACATGAATATCGCATGATGGACACGTTGGGGAGGTGGACTGTAAACCGCCGACATTTTCAAAATATTGTCCCAATTTAATTGCTGTTTATATTGTAAGGAAGTATCACATTGCCCTGCCGTGCGTGCCCTTGTGATGTAAGTGTTTAGCAGGGAAAAATCGAGATCCAATTCCCGGCGAGGGCACAGTTGGCTTTTCCCGCTTCTTGCATCCTAACATCCTAATGGTGTTTGGGAAAAAAAAGAAAGAAAGAAAAGAAAAAGAAAGGAAGAAGAACAGAAATTATTTTAAACTCAGTCTATCTAATTTTATTTTAAATTGAATGAAATATCAGCCGTTCATTTGTATCTCTAAGATGAATCTCATACACATTTGAAAAGCAAATACTTTGTTCAACGGAATACGGCTCTTAATTCTTATATTCTTCTTCCACCTTTAATGTACATTGTTTTTTACAATTCATGTACAGACTTAAACGATTTCCTTTTTTAATGAACTGAGCATATATAGAAGTATAAAAAAATTATTATACGTAACATATAAATATCTGTCACACTATACTTAAACACGATAGTTAGATTCTACATTTAGATACGACTGTGTTACTGCGAAATAAGGAAGGGAAGTTGGAAACATTCTTTAAGGAAAAGAAAACAAAATTCAACTTAGGAATTACAACTTCAGAAATTTTGTTTTTTAATATTCCCATTTTAAAATTTTACACTTTTTATTACGTTTAAATATAAATTCCACATTTAATTCAGCCCTTCTTATACAGCTCTACAATACGAAAATGTGTCATTTCCCGTTATGAGACTGGTTTTTCCAAATAAAATGGTTTCCAATTTCTTTCTGTTGAACCTATGAAATTTTTTATAACATTTTTGCTAGAATACCCATAATCAGTAACGAAGATAAAAACAGCTCGAACTTTATTTATACACTCACGTTTGTGAAAATTGCAACACCATGAAGGACTTACGCGAGTGAGCTGAAATTTTCAGGAAATGCAAAGTAGCGCATGATATGCAAATGATTAGAATTGCAAATCCGTAGCGCATGCGTATGCTGAGCAGCGCCCTCTGAACGGCTGATGGATCCGAATAAATAGACGGCTGTAGCAAGGCGTGTATGGTTATCGGTGGTTATCTGCTAGTGGTAAACGTTAACTCAATCTGTACTTATGCCTCGTCGACGAAAGAGAGCGAGATTTGAACAACTTACAGAGTTTGAACGAGGGAGAATCATCGGCCTTCGTGAAGCTGGATTGTCGTATCGTGCAGTAGCCTCTCGTGTGCAGCGTAACAGCAGCACAGTGATGCGCGTTTGGAAGCAGTGGACGGACGAGTGTCGGACAACTCGGAAATCCGGGAGTGGACCCCGAAATGTGACGTCAGCTCGTGATGATAGACACCTGGTCCGCATGGCGCGGACGGACCGTACAGCTTCCTCTAGACAATTGGCAGCACTGTGGTCAATAGCTACAGGTGTTTCATTGTGTGCTTCATCAATTCGTAGACGTCTGCTGCAGTGTGGACTGCGCGCACGGACTCCTTTATACAGGATCCCCCTAACGCACGACCATCGCCGCCTCCGGCTACAATGGGCCAATCAGCATAGAGACTGGTGTGCTGATTGGCAGCATGCCGTGTTTTCTGACGAATCCCGCTTTAATTTGTGGTACCATGATGGCCGCATTCGTGTCAGACGCTATGCCGGTGAACGCCACCTTCCGGAGTGCATTATCGAACGCCACAGTGGACGAACACCCGGAGTTATGGTCTGGGGCGCCATAGCATATCATAGACGATCTCAATTGCTACGAATTGTGGGCAATCTGAACAGCAACCGGTATATCCGTGAAGTTCTACAGCCCGAAGCTGTTCCCTTCCTTCAAAGCTTGCCAGGCGCTGTATTTCAACAGGACAATGCCCGCCCTCATACTGCTCGGATTGTTAAATCCTTCTTTGCAGCGCAGCAGGTACAGCTTCTTCCTTGGCCTGCGTGTTCCCTTCCCGGATATGTCGCCAATTGAACATGTGTGGGATGTCATTGGTCGGCGTCTTGCTCGTGATCCTCGTCCTGTTGCGTCTGCAGACGAACTTTGGGTACGCGTACAAACGATATGGAATGCTCTTCCTCAGTCAGACATTCAAACTTTGTTTGACTCCATGCCACGTCGTGTAGCAGCACTTATTGCGGCGCGTGGTGGCCACACAAAATACTGATTCTGATCTCTTGTTCTTGTTTGTTTGCTTTGAACATTTAATCATTTATTTGTACCACTACCACTCAACTGTGTATTAAATTGCATTCAATTATGACGATTCCTTCTTGGTGTTGCAATTTTCACAAACGTGAGTTTACATGCCTTCTGAAGAAAGTATTTTAATATATAAGTTTAAACATACCTGCATGTCAGAAGATTTACAACAATTTCACATTATTAAACTAAATTTGACACCTTCAGTTAACCTACTTTTGGAGTGAATACAGAATATTAAGCTACAAGATTAAATAAAATTATTAAACTAAACGAAACAGCAGATTTTTATTCTAAATTTAAAAAAATTATTTGAAAGCAATGGTTGCAAATTGTTTATAAGATTTAAAATCTTTTACTAACGTAAATTGCGATTTAATTTTTTGTAGATTTAAAGTGACTTACTCTCTGTATAGTATTATAGAAAGGATAGAAACTTGAGAAGGGTGTAAGAGATCCTTTTATTTAAACTCAATAAGATGAACGGAAGGTATTCCTGGTGCTTACAAATTTACCAGTATTTATGGAGAGAGCTCAAAGTAGAAATTCAAAAGTCAATGTAATTTAAATTCTACTGGCCATAGGTTCAACAGAGTAATATAGTCACGAAGATGGCTCGGAATTAACTGGCATGAATTTAATTATCGGAAAGTAGCAAAGGCGAAGACAGGAACTCTTATCTATAACAGCAAACTAGTAACGTGGCTTTCAAACGGCAGAACATCCTCTGACTTAACAATCCCAAACTCTCAGTTAAATATACGAGAGCTAATTTGCATTCTGGTGGAAAAATGGAAAGAGAGAAGTAACAGTAAAGATTCCAAAGATAAAACAATTGTTATGTAAATTAAATAAACCTTACAAGAATTAAAATGAATTTTCTTTTGTTTTACATGTTTGATTACAAAATAAATTGAATTTAATGATCAGTTCCACACTTTTCGTTTCATTATGTTAAAGGAAATTATGTGTGAAAATCTGTACCGAAGAATACGCTTAAAATTAGGCACTCACCCGCTGCTTGCCCAACGTGAGCCAAATCATGGAATACAAATTCTCCAAAAATAGCCAAAATAGTCGTCACGTGTGTATGTGGTCGATCGGTGTCCGTGTGAACTGACAAGCTGATCTCCCGAGCACTTGGTAAAAATCCTCCATTCGCAGATTGGCGTGGCAATGAAACAGCTGTAAGAAAGTATAAATTGAACTTAAAATCCGAATACCTCATGTAAATAAATGTATGACTGATATCTAAAATGGTGTACCTCTGTAGTTGAAATTATATATACTAAACAATATTATATACTTAAACTAAATCATAACCTTGAATCGGTTCGACATCTCATGAGACAATAAACTGTGCCTGGAGTTATCTTTTTAGTCAGTTAATAATATATAGTACATCACAAATCAGGACATGCATTATTTAATAAAATGTATAATTTGAAAGCTTCAGATTACTACTTAACATCTTGAAAAAGAGTTTATTATTACAATTTCTTTAAATGAATATGTATTAAAGTTTTTAAAATATAACAAGTCACATAAATATTTCTCTTCTTTTCTTAAATAAAAATAATATCTACTCCTATCAACTCATAAAATTATATCTTTACGTCAACTGGCGAGTTTTCATGTTATTTGATAAAATAGCAGTAAAACTTAAACCATGAAGAAATTTCAATTTTTAAAGCTTCGTCATTTGTTCTTCATTTCTTTTTAGACATAAGAATGGTGTAAAAAGAATGATATCAAACTATTACAAAAACAAATTACCATTCACATATCATATCTGTAGCCACAATTCATTTGGCACTCTAATCATGCCTATTCAAGAACTTTTACAGTTTTGAATACTATTGCAATAGGAAGAACGCATAGCGGCTTCTAAGTAGCACAGAGAGGGTGAAGCTAAAAGTACGCAATTATATAACAGGGAAGTTCGCCAAAAGGAAGGTTTTGGTTTTGGTTTTGGTTAGAAAAATTTTAGTTCTCAAAATTTTGAGTTCATTATGAATCGGCTGCGTCATCGGCGTTTCTAGATTAATCTATGGCATAGATTAATCTAGAAATGGCGCAGTCCAGAAATGTTATTTTTAGAATAGAAAAACGGAATACCCAAATTAAAAATGAGGAATTAAGAGACTATTACTAAATTAAATTACTGTAAAGCTAATTTACATATTTTTTATCTTACATATACATATAACGCAATGTAAATTAAAATAATACGTTTAAAATCTATTCCATATTCATTTCGGAACAAACCGCATACCAAAAAAAAAAAAAAAAAAAAAAAAAAAAAAAAAAAAACAGAAGCACAGTGGGGAAAGCATGTGAAAGACGCGCAAAAACTGCCATACCCAAAAACGAAAAAGGGAAACAGAAATTTACATCTTTCTCTGCATCGTCATCAGAGGGTTTGTGCAACGAGAAAAGCAAATGCATCAGTTTGTTTATGAACCAACAAATATACAAATTTGAGCTTAATAGTTAAAAAAATCTCAGAAAATTAAATGGGTTGGACTAATAAAGACACAGATCTTAAGCTAATTTAATATTTAGTTAAAATTTTTAAACTGATTTTTTTATTTTTAAGTTTGCTTTATCAAATACTTTTAATTAACATTTTCTTCTGTTTAAGTTTTTCATATTGTTAACGATTTTCCTGCAAGAAAATTTCCTTAGTTGTAAATTCTTAGCTCTCGAATAACAACGCGAATTCAAAATGAAATGGCTTTCTAGTTGCCTGCATTTGAAGCATAACACAAGTTATTATTTTGTTTGAATGCGTAGTTACTGTCGTATATGTAAGCAAGGTAATCTAAATTTTAAAAGAAATGGTGTAATAAGAAAGCAAATCAAAAGAAAAAAAAGTTGTTGAGGGAACTGTTGTATTGAAATTGGCCAAGATTGTTTCATGCGCTTCAAGACTCAATGAAAGTCGATTTTACGAGTGGCTGCTCTTTCTTCTCACCGATAAATGGTTTTACAGCTTTCCAACTAGACAACGATAATCGTGATTGAACTAATTCTTAAAATAGACAAACTGGTTGCGAGAGAAAAAGAGCTGCAGAAAATTGCTAAGAAATCTGTAAGCCTTTTTTTATGGGCATAGCGAATTTATGTTGCGATTGTTATCTACACAAGAAGTTCCTGAAGCTCTCAGATGTGGTTAGCCATAAAAATGTGATTAAAATCTTTTCGTGGATCAGAATTAAAAAGGCATTCAAATAATTTACTTAATGATTGTCTCATACTATCACGTTTTAACAATCACAAGGCACATAGCAATTAATCTTTATCAAATGCATGAAATAAGCTGCGAAGAAATTCCCTGTGCATTTGTATTAAATATTTATCAACATTATTTCATCCTAAGCTGTGTGTTCTATATATGCTTGGTTTGTATTGCTAAGTACTTAAAAAAGGTATGTTATAGGCTTGGGAATATAAGTTAAAATATATCTAAAATCGAAAGAACCTTAAATTTGAAAACTAAGAAATCAGACGTAATGACTATATGCAGTATGAGAATAAGATTACATTTTTAATTTATAACTAAATTTATTTAGGTTATATAACTAAATTTTTATACTTAAGTTTATCCAAGTCACATGACTAAATTTTTATAATAAAGTTTATCTAAGCCAAATTAGTATTATAATTTTTATTGATACTCCTGTAAGCATAAATTCGAAGTTAATACCCAAGCCCCCTGAGAGAAAAGCGGATTGATTTTTTAAAGTTATTCTCGTACCGTTAACCAGTTCAGTTTTAGGAAAGCAGGATCATCGATGTGTATGATACCTAATCTTTCTCCTTAATAGTATCTTAGCAATACGTGTCGTAGAAGGTGAAACTTTTTAATTTTGAAAATCTATTTTCCCGTTCATTGTACATTGGACAAGGAGAGAGATGTAGAGATTTGAAACTTCCTGTAAAAGCAAAAGAAAGTGAAAAACCTTCACCCCAAGCTGTAAGTGTACTTATGCAGACTTAGATACCATTTTTTATTTGATATCTAATGATTAGATAAAAGATGACTAGGTCTTATTGCCAAATAAAAATTGGGAAATTTATACCGCTGTTTAGTATAGATTTCAAATAAAGAAACAACGAATTTTGAGAGTGGAACTAGGCGGTTTCTCTTGCTTAACAAAGGCGGTTTCTCTTGCTAGTCCTTTCAGAATTGTAAAGATTTGTATTTACAGAGTTTTTTTATTTGTTTAATCAATTATATCAAACCGTGCGAGGGCTACATGTTTAATAGAGCGATGTTTTCATAGAGGATTTTCTAAGGTTAACTGACTCCGTATTTACATTACACATAGAGAAATTCGAAAAGACTTAGCATACAAACTATTTATCGGGATTAGAACAGGAATCTAACTACCAGTATACAGCGGTCTTATCCACGTGGCCTCAGGTAAACAAATCACCTGTTAAAGTAAACTGAAATGAGGAAATAAAAGAAGAAAACTTGGCGCTTGCGGTTCTTGAATTAAGTTTATTAAATCCCAATTATTTTATCAAACTATTTTTATATAATTTATTTCTTTTATTTTAAATCTCTTTGAACGCTTAATAAGAAATATTTCTTTCTATACTACTAAAAGCATAAATTTAAATTTTGCTGTAGAAACAAAACCAGACAGTATGCTGAAAATTAGTGTGTTACTCGATTAAAATTTGATACTTTTTCCATGTGTAAATTAAAAAGTATGTTTCTTTGAAAATTCTCCTCCCTGTGACAATCAGAGAATTCGCGCGTCATTTATAAAGCGAATTTATTTTATATTAAAATATTTATCAGCAACCGTTCGTTAGATACTCTCAGAGAGTGTAATATGTAATTATTAGATATTATTCGAGCACACGTTCAGTATCACACCAAAGCCACGATTATTCGTTTTTTGTTCATGTACACGAATTCTACGTTTTTCATTCATTTACAAGCGTTTTCTAAGCTAGTTTTCGATGTTTCATTCCATGATAAAGGAGAGAGGTGCATTTTCTTCAAGTTTCTGAAAGGATTCTGTGACCTATTTCTACGCTGTGTCCATAATAATCCTTACCGGAATCGGTTGGTTCTACAGAAATATTTCCAATTATAAAATGTGTAAATGGCACAAATATTCATGTTTTAAGATTTTTAAACATAAGGAAATCCAACATTTTATGTGTTCCTCGGGCCCCTATACTTATGTATAGAAAAATGTTGCACTCGTTATAAGAAATAAAACACACTAAGTTCCACTCCCAAACAATAAAACTTTTAAAGAGATATCTAATTTCAAAATATTCCGATTTTGGTTACAGCCGAAAACATCGCGGCAAAAACATCGTGGACGAAAACGTCGCGGAGAAAACAACGCAAGGCGTAAACGTCGTGCTACAAAACATCGTGGGAGAAAACATCGCAAAGAGAAAACATCGCAGTCCTAAAACATCGTGGTACAAAACATCGTCGTCGAAAATAAAGCGATTCAAAAACTTCGCAATTTAAAAACGTCGTCGTCGAAAATATCGTGGTAAAAAATAAAGTATCTACAAATCATCGCATGACGATAACATCGCAGACATGCGTTAATAACTGTAAATGGATATCCCCATAATGATTTGTGAGTGCAAGATATAAAGAAGGATAATTTTTGTTTTCACATTTTTTTTATTAACTAATTAATTTTTCTGAAAAAGTAAGAAGGAAACTTAAACATAGCAAATTAATGCAACTTATAGCAATTAATAGAATTTTAAACCGACATAGTTAACTAACAAAGGCCATTAATAAATCATTTTTTATAAAGTTTTTACTGGTAATTTTTCATGAAACGGATAAGCTATAAGTTGCATTTAATTTTCTATGCTTAAGTTTCCTTCTTACTTTTTCAGCAAAAATTTATTAGTTAATAAAAAATGTGAAAGTAAAAATTATCCTTCTTTACATTTTGCGCTCACAAATCATTATGGGAATATTCATTTACAGTTATTAAAGCATGTTTTGAAAAAGCATGTCTGCGATGTTATCGTCATGCGATGATTTGTAGATACTTTATTTTTTACCACGATATTTTCGACGACGATGTTTTTAAACTGCGAAGTTTTTGAAGCGCTTTATTTTAGACGACGATGTTTTTTACCACGATGTTTTAGGACTGCGATGTTTTCCCACGATGTTTTGT